AAAAAGCTTTTTAAAAAAAATTTTCTCACGCTTTCCCCCAATATTTTGTGAACTATCTTGTGGAGAAACTGATGAGAAGTGTGGTCAATTTTCTATCCTGAAATATAAGTTTGTTTAATTAATTTCTCTTTTTGGAATATTACATGTACATACTGAGGGGAAGTAGAAGCTACTCATCGATCATTTCTGGGAGTTAAAGAATTAAAAAGGAAAACTTGACTGATTGGTTTTCCCTGTTCAACTGGAACCAAAATTATTCTTAGTTTGTTTCCTAAGTTACTACCCATTTTTTATGGAGTGTGACATACGTGTACATGTTATTATTTTTTTTTCCACTTTTTTACTTAGGATGCCCTGAGGTCCTAGTTTGTCCAATGTTTGCTGCTCTTCCTTCCCAGCATCAAATGAAAGTGTTTATTTCAGCTCCTATAGGCAAAAGGAAAGTTATTCTAGCAACAAATATTGCAGAAACATCAATTACCATTCCAGGGGTCAAATATGTGGTAGATACAGGCTTTGTTAAAGGAAAAGGTGGGTGCAATTCATAATGAACATTTCTATGTAATTAACACTGAAATAATTTTGTCAGTTTTGGTTGTACTTCTTTGAGTGATAAGAGGGCCATTCAGTGAGAGTGATGGAAAATCATTTACAGTGACTTCCTGATTTATTGTTCCTTTTCCAGCTTTTCATCCCAAGACTGGCCTTGACATACTGCAGGTTCAACCGGTCTCAAAGGCACAGGCACGCCAACGGACTGGTCGGGCAGGACGAGAAACCAGTGGAGTCTGTTACAGACTTTATACAGAGGAACAGTTTGATGAGCTGAAGGAGATGACAATGCCAGAAATCCAACGGTGTAACTTGGCAAGTGTTGTCTTACAGCTTATGGCCCTGGGTATATTGGATGTTCTCCATTTTGACTTTCTTGACTCTCCTTCACAAGATGCGATAGAAAATGCATTGGAACAGTTAGTGGTGTTAGGAGCAGTAAGGAAAGGGAACAGTGGCTTTGAGGTAAAATTACTCTCTAAGGCTGGTTTTCTTTTATTATTAAAAGTTCAAGTTATATTAATTGTTTTTTTTCTGAATTTCATTGTATGCACTGGTAACTCCCAAAATCTAATATTGTTAATTCTCAGCTCTGACTGCCACACATTTTAGATCAAGATAACAACATCTGCCTGATAAGTTTGAATATTCTCATTACCTTTTTGCCGGATATTGTACGGATCTGATAGGGAGAAATTACAAGTTAATCACTTTGAGGGAGTTGAAAGGGTTTTTTTGTTGTTGTTGTTGATTGATGTGGACAGAGATAAGACAAAGAAGCCCTGGAGCATGGATGACAACTAACAGAAAATTAAACTTGCACATGAGTCAAAGTGCATGATTCAAACTGGGGCTGCAGTAGCAGAGACAAGAGCTTTCAGAATTATACCATCCCTTCTCCTTGCTACTATATGCCATTTATAACAAATTCCTTTAATTTTTGTCGCACCTTTAGCTAATGCCTCTTGGTCGTAAAATGGCTAATTTTCCATTGGAGCCCAGACTGGCCAAAGTGATTCTGTCATCACATGAATTAAATTGCAGTGAGGAGATAATCACCATTGTAGCTTTGCTGTCTGTGGACTCCCTTACTTACACCCCACAAAGCAAACGGGACCACGCCTTAGCAGTACGCAAGAAGTTCCTTTCATCAGAAGGTGATCAAATGACTCTTCTGAATATTTACAGAGCTTACAAAGCCGTCAGTGGCCACAAAGAGTGGTGTCATGAACACTTCATCAACTCCCAAACTGTTAAACGTGTCATGGACATAAGAAAACAACTGCGAGAGATTTGCATAAGACTGGACATTCCTTTGATATCCTGCGGCAAGGATACTGTGAACATTCGGCACTGTCTTGCCAAAGGACTCTTCATGAATGCTGCAGAGCTGCAGCTTGATGGGACATATCTGACTGTGACTCACAGGCAACCTGTTACCATTCATCCTACCTCATCACTGTTTGGTTCTAAGCCACAGTATGTTGTTTACAATGAACTTATACACACCACAAAGTGTTACATGCGTGATGTATGCGTGGTAGATCCGTCTTGGCTTCAAGAAGCTGCACCAAATTATTTTAAAGAGCACAGACTTCATTCACAGCCAACATCAGTTCGTTCATAATTCATTTTTCCTTGAAAGAACTATACATGCAGTCTGAAATTAGAATATTTTTCCCATCATTGTAACATGTGTCACTGAATAAGGAAGAGGATGGAATAAAACCCTAAGTGAATTAACTCTGTAACTCCCACAAGTGACCAATAATATTTCTCTCCACAATTTCTCTACAGTGTCAAGCAGAAATGTGATCAGTGTAGAGAAAAATATTAATCAGTGGATCCGATACCAAATTCTCTGAACTAACATGAAAGGAACATTATGGCATAAAGTAAGGAAAATCACTTATGAGATCTTGGGAGTGAAAGGGTTAAGTTACAAACTTCTCCTGGTCGTGTTCAAAGTAATGAAAGGCAATCTGAAAGGAGATTTCAGCAGTCTATCAGGTGTCACTGAAGGCTTTTTGCCATGCAACCTCTCAAAGTAAATAATACTGCCATGAGAGCACAACCTCCAGTCAAAAGAGTACAGAATTTATTGATGCGATTAATATTAATAATATTTGGATCGACTGGAATGGTTGTAAATAATTACATTTAATGTATCTCTCAGTTAGTGTGTTTGCTATGAGTGGTCAATTTAGCAGGCTGTATTTTGTATTATGGATCACTTAATTCAAAAGTTTGTTTGAATTGAAATCTTCCCCCAGAGGTAAAATAAATATCTTGCTAACCTTGTTTCGTTTTCGTGGTCAGTAATGAGTTGCTGAACCGAAGTTTTTTTTTTTTTTTTTTCTTGCTTGGGCAATAAATCCAAATGCAAAGAATTGGTCCATAACTTAAAATTTGTGAATTTCACTTAACCAGCTTGAATGTTTGTAAAGTGCATGCTAAGGGTAACACATTACCCAGGTTTTTAGAGACATTTTCAATGGGTGTCACAAGTGCTTCTAAATTTCTTTAGTTCTGCTTTTCTCTGCTATTTCTCCCACCTCTTTTTCAACCAATCAGATTCAAAGCTGATTGGACACTGTGATTAATTTGGTTTGGTTTAATGACACTTGAGAGAAAAGCAGTTGGTCTCTTGTCATCCCTAGTAGCCATAAATTTAAACAGTCTGCCTATCAGTGTAAAAAGGAGTATCATCAAGTATTTCAGGAATTTCACTTAGGAATGTTGTCAAAACCTCTGGTTGTGAGTCATTTCCTAGTTAGATATCTATTTCCATGTTGATCTGACTTGCATACAAATTGTTTGGAAGCTTGTGGCTCACAGAGTATTTGAAATCACAAAAGCAACGAATTTGATATATTTTCTGGCCAACACTATTTGAGGAAGGCTCATGGAAAGTGAAGCTCCTCATGATGAGACTATTCATTGAAAAAGAAAAACCACAGTCAGATTTCTCTACTGATGCTGACAATGAGGTAGGACTTACATCACAATGTACAAAGGGCCTCTCAGAGCACAAAGCCAGGTTCAAACTTAACCCTTTGCTCCCTCAAATCAGTATGCATAATCTCCATACCATTTGATGCTAGGAACCCTTAAGAGTCAAAGGGCTAAGCTAACATTATTAGTTTTTTTTTTCAGTTTTGGCTCAAGACCGAAAATGGACAAACAGTGAATGGAATTAATCTTTGTAGAAAAGGTTGTGGTTATTCATCATGGTGAATAAAAATAAAAGTTAAGTTTTTCGTTTGTCTCGCGATGTAGTCACGTGTGATGTAGATCGCGACGTTTTGACTGCATACTGCTAGTCTTCTTCAGGTGATGAGGTCAACTGGTCATGCATGATCTTACACACCTCAACATTGTTACACATTCTCCACACCATTCTCTACACATTTCCATGGGTACTAACACAGAGAATTTGTTTAATGATCACAAGCCTCTAAAGATGGTGATCACTTCTCCTACTGTCATGTTTGATTCAGGAGTGATTCCATAAGATGAAATAATTAGATGCTTGCCACTTGCAGAGATAAAAGGGTTAGGTAATTTTCATCCCAGGAGACCAATACAGTTGCTGAAGTTTCTAATGCAACAAATCCAGCTCTGTAAAGAATCTATGTCTTCCAATATTCCATAAGTGAGTTTCTTACAATTTGTTATTGACAAGGTTAATTGGGGATTGGACTATATGTTGTATGATTCAGATTTATAAATGCTGGCTTTGTTATGGCAATCTTGAAAAGCAGTCAGTCAATTTCAAAGTCCTAGCCCAATTCCTAAATTCTACTCATTTAATTTTATTACCATTAATGGTAGACTTGTGCAACAAATCTTAGGGATGTCATACAACAACTCTTTCTTCACCCAGTAGCACATTTTGTCCCTGGGCTAGTGTTTTGACTACAGCCAATGAACATATATCAGTTTAATCGCTTTTTAAAGGCAAAAAGCATACTTTAGGTGAATGTTGATGTAGCACAAAGACAACCACAGTACAATACAATCTCTATTTTTCCAGTCTATATTATTCTCACAGGAGCCTCAAGATTGTGTTCCAAAATTAATTACTGGTACCAAAGTTAAATCTGCAAGCTACAATAATTATAATAATAACAACAATAATAATAACAGTAATAATAATAAAAATAATAATAATGGTGATAATAATTATTGTTGCATCCTACATGGATAACCTATCATTCTTAATATTCCACTTTATCAGGCATTTAATCAAGTCAAAAACCAACCAGAATGGAAATCCATGGATCTAAGGGATGGGTTTAAAAGTAGGTAGTCAAGCACTTGTTGTTTAGTTTACAGTGTACACTGTGGCATGAATAAAAATTTCAATCAAAAATAAAAAAAAATTCATGAATATTTTCAGTCATACTTTTAATTTTGAGTACAGTAATAAGATGCAGTTAGAAGAGGGTTTTCTACTTCATCTCCCAAACGAACTGTAGATTATCATGAGAAGTAGTGGTATAACGTATACGACCTTGCAGATAATTTTATAATCCAGATGCAAAAGTAGTTCTCATCCTGCAAGATGCTTGTCTTCTACTAGGTTGGAACATGACTGTTTTCCTGTTGTCTTGTGAATGATTTGCTCTGTTTATAGAAGGTTAATCTCTTTCTGATGTAATAGGAGTTGCACTTGTTACAGCAGTTGCCATCTTAGCAAAATTCACACAATAACCATTCCTCTCTGAATCCCAACACTCAACATCTTTCCCGCGGTGATGATTCTTTAGAAGCTGACAGCCATACTAATCAGTTTAGTATAATCCACATCCTTTGAGGTTATTTGCAATAATTGTATCAGTAACTGCATTAAATACAAAAGTGATATTGTCCGTGTCTGTCGCACATGTAAGATGAACATATATTTCTTTTTCATCGTTCAAGTTTTTGGCCTCAAATTGTTTCCTAATGTAAAGGCAGCCAGCTTCATATGTGTTTGGCCCTGCAAGCAAAGAACAAGCAAAGAGTAAGAATGTTAACATCTACAATGTAGCAAGTGTAGTTTGAATAAATCAGAAACTACATCCATGGTTTCCTGACCTTGGTGCAGTGGTGTGTAATGCTCTACTATTAACCTTTTAACTCCTGGAAGTGTTAATCATGTAATTTCTTCCTATTCAATTCATACACTACTTAGCAAACAGGTAATAAGAATCCTTAAACTTATCAGGTACAGGTTGTTACCTTGATCTAACACCAAATTCTTCAAACCAAACCCTTTTTATCACCTTTCCTTTCTCATCACAACATGGAACGATTGGAATAAGGCACAAATAGTGTATGTTGTGTCCAATGGAATGGACCACTTAAGACCCATAATGGAATATACACCAAAAGAGAAGCTATCATAGGTTTGCAGGGAAATCAATTTTCTTTATGGGGATACTATGAAGAGATTGTGCACCAGGTGTAAACATTATTTCCTATTCCAGTCCTATATATAATAGAATATAATATAAATATATAAATTTGTAAACAAAAAAAGAAGAAACGTTCCACATTCTTGACAAGATAGAGTGTTTGATACCAGGTTTGGCTCATTAACACTCTACACTGAAATCAAGGCCTTGGTAAGATTAAGCCCCCCTTACACCCAATGTCATTATACATATTCCCCATTTTGTTCTTTTTACATTTCATCACATGCTGACATGGAGAATTTGTTCAACAGTCAAGACCTTCTCTAGTTGGTGATCATTTCCTTTATTCCTGTGACCTTAATGTTTGATTCAGGGGTGATAATGTATGGAGAAATTAGATGCTAGTCACTCTAAGGAGTTTAATGGTTAACTCATGGAACTACTTGATGATCACAACAGAAATCTGTGAAATTTTTCTTGTTTGTAAACACAAATCCTACCTGAATAATCTGGAAAACATATTGTGAGTGGAGAAGTATTAATTTTTTCTTCAAATAAATCCTTTTTGTTAAGGAAGAGTATAACTGAAGTTTCAACAAACCATCTGTTGTTCACTATCGACTCAAACAATTTTAAACTCTCTTCCATTCGGTTCTGAGAGAAAGAAAATTGATGATTAGTTGCTAGAACAACACAGTATTATTAGCAGTCCATCAATATTATGACAAGAAAAACTGTAGGGAAAGGGCTGGTGATAAATATTCCCTTAATGCAAAAGAATGTTTCACATAAAACTTTGTAGTGTTCAATTTTGACCTGGCTAAAATGAGTTATTCAAATATGCCCTAGAATGTTCAAAATCATGCCTCAAAGTTTTAAATTTCAAACTTTTCCAAGGTATCATACTTTGTAACATGCCATGTTCGAGATGCAAGCATAATTCAGTTCAGCCACCCACTTAGTTTAGATCATACACTTACCAGTTGTACATTTTCTATTAACAATCCTACTATCGAAAACTATCACAGGTTGCCCAATTTCCCACACTCTTTATCAATTCAACACTGGCCAGACTTACTGTGGTTTCATCTTCCTGCAGTGTCAAGTCATATGCACTCAATGCAACACAGTATATTATAGCTGTGACATCTTCAAAGCAATGAATCCATTTTTTGCGCTCAGATCTCTGCCCTCCTACATCAAACAATCTGTAAGCAAGAGCCAAGAAAATATGTTACACCAAATTGAGAAATATTGTTTGAAAAAATATGGAGCCTTTCTATGAGATATAAAGGTCTGTTACTTACTTAAAATGGAGCCTCTTGAAATCAAACTGGATTTCAACAATGCCGGTGGTTTTTACCCTCGTCCGTAAGAGATCCTGTGCCGTGGGTTCATAATTTTCAGCTCCAATTCTTTCTATTGCATCTAAATAACTACAGAAAAGAAAGAATGCAGTCTAAAACAACCAAAACACCACTCTGCTTTTGAAGATAAATTAGGTTTTATCCTTGTGTCACAAAACTTTAATGTTAGTGGTCCACCGTAAAGAGTTTCTAAGCTGACATTTTAAGTGCTAGCCCTTCTTCTGAGAGGATATGGTATAAGAATTTTAATTTTGCAATTTGGCCATTCAGAACTGGTTTGGCTTGCTTTCTTCACTACTGATACCCCCAAATTTGGTGTCTCTTACGCTTGTAGTCTTTTAAAATTATTTTATGCAGTAGTTGGTTAGTAAAAAGATAAGGTTTTCAGATGTGGCATCCAATGGTTTATTTTCTGGTTTTTATTCAACAATTATGAGCCTCAACTGAGCAAACAGGCCAAGATTCTCATATCAAGGGTCCTCCTGACCACACATTATTCAAAGAAATACATGACCAACCAGGGAATTTTTTTTTCCCAGGAGAGCATGCATTACAAATAATGTCTGGATTGTTGACCATGCCCTGAGGAGTATTGTGAGCAGGCTGTGAAATATGACTGTAAACCAGCTTGCAACAGAAGAGGGTCTAAGATTATTTCATATATGGGATGGTCGGTTTCCATCAAAATTCAATGCGGTTACGGTTATGGTTAATTGTATTGTGCTGTTTTGCAGTTTCTTACAGATGATTTCCTACTGGTGATTCTGGTATCTTCCATTTCTTGACCAATGTATATGCTAAATACTAGACCAGTACTAATACTTGTATTGAAATTTGAGGAGGACTTGATCATACCATTCCTTTTAAACTACTTATGCTTTGGACTATTTCAAATATGGCTATTTATTGACCTAGGATTTTTCATGATGAAATTTTGTCAATCATACTACCAAGGAAATATTTATATTGTTCAACAAAAATTTGCATCTGACGAATCAACATTGGTATATTGATGTCAGTCAGTCAATGCCAACATATCACTGTAAAATATTTATCTTACCTATCTAAAATCTCAACCTTTCTAAAATCAAGTCTAAGCAAGAAAAATTAATTATAACCGAGAAATAGGGCACTTTTGCTCGGACATGTCCAACAAATGGATAAATTACATTTGAATGCCTTCCACAATAAACCACAAGGCCAAATCTTTCTTCATCTGCAAAACTCACTGTTTGAAAGATGCATAAAAATAAGAATGACCTAAAGTAACAAATAGCAGTATTATTGGATTCAGTAATGTAAAGGTGACTGGTTATGCAAGTTATACGTCCAGAAAACTCAATTTAGCTAACATAATTTTGATGCTCAGTACTTGAAACAAATTGATGTAAATGTTCAAAACAATTTTCTTTCAAGTCTCTCTTTATCACAAACACAAAACAATTACTTCTAAGGGGAAGACTATTAGACCATTTTTTGGCTGGTTGCTTAAAATCTGTGAAGATCTTTGGTCAATACCTTAATGAATTTTTTAAAATAGCTGTTTGATCTTCTGCAGACAACAGGTCCAATATAATGCAAGCTGCACTTTGATACAATACTGTATTGATCCATGGAATATTAAAATCAAAATTACTGCAATGACATTCAGTCATGCTTGGTCTGAAGGGATCAGCTGCATGGGAAGATTAAGTTTGGTCTAACCGAACATAATCTTCCAACTCACTTGCTTTTAGTGCTCAACTGCATTAAAAACATTTCACTTCACACAACATTTAGATAAAACATTTGAATGACTTGAAGGAGGTTTTGAGCACAGTTTTGCAAAACAACACCAAATAATCACCAAATTAATTGTCATTGGGGTTTGTTTTTGAAGTTAGTACTGGTAAAAATAAAATGTTTTTGTGTTTTTGAGTGATTTTACACCTTTCAACAAAATTGGGAAACACTGGAGACCAGACAAACAACTATTTTTGAATCAGTGACATTAAATTTACCATAAGTTTTACGGTGGAGATTTTGGATAATTCTTCTCAAGAGGAACATCTGTTCAGATTGATTACTCAAGTACTATAAAAAAATGCTTCACAAAAATAATTCCCTGAAAACACCACAAAAACATGGAAATATCAGCCAAAACAATCAAAAGAGATCGTAAAATGTTATTTGGAAGAATTTACCAGCTAAGAATAATGTCAAATAACTGAAAAAAGGTAATCGGTTTTGGTAAACATCACGCAAGTTTGAGATGTACCTAAGAATTACTAGTGTTTACTGATAAAGGTGTAAAAGTTATTTTTCAAATTTAAGCAGTAATTATGATCGCGTGCGCCCAAAGTTATTTCTAAACAACCCAAGAGAAAATCCAAACAATTTGCAAGGTACCTAACAAACTTAACAGTCATCGTGCAAGGTCAATTTCTTCCTTATTACTTGGTAAATATATTACATCAACGATGTCACTTTAAGCAGGTCTAGTAAATTGCAAGAAAGCCGTATGATGACAAACAGTCTACCTCACACAAGCTTGCAATATTCGAAAATGCCCGTTCACATAACAAAGATATATTTTTCTCTCCAAAAAAAATGCGTCGAATTTTTTCCTCCTCTTTGGCGAGAAGTTTCCACCTTCATTTCGGGGAAACTGTTTCAAGATTGGAGCATGCCCAGAAGAGTCTACCGCAATGATCAAAACAACTGAAAATTGGCCCGATTTGTGATTATCGTCTGCGTTAATTTCTAAGGGACAGTGTTGATAATAAAGTGGCCTAGGCGCCAAAATATACACTTACTATCTGGCAGAGTCGTTCAGTTGATATTCTCTAGATCTCCGGAAACACTGTTTTATTCCTCCGTCTTGCCACAACCGTTTCATTGCTGCTGTTAACTCGGGCGTGAACGGTTCCTGATCGTCCGCCCTGGCCACCACATCGAAAACCATTTTGGCGTCCATCTACAAATGTAAAGCCAATATTCAGAACGACTGCACGGTTCACTAATCCGTCGACTGTTAATCCAGTCGAATATATGAAGTAAGATAACTAATCAACAAAGAAAAATTCAGGCGAAATTACGATGATCTTTCTTACAAGTCTCTCGTCTGTTTCGAAGTCTATCCGCAGTTTGTCCATCGCTCGAATAATTTTTAGTAGAGAGTAGATCGCATTACTGAAAACCAGGGGCTTATATTGACTGTAATCCTCTGCAGTAAAACCATGATCATGGATGATTCTGAAATAGAAAAACCAAAGACCAACTATGCTAAGAACACATTAGATTTTGCCTTGTAAACAGAGCGGGTAACCAAGTTGTAAACAAGCTTACGAAAATCGCCAAATGTCACATACTTCATTTGCTTTACTATAGTGCTTTTCCCCGATTCTCCTGCACCTGTAAGAAATAAGAATACAGTTGGATTGAGTCTTACGAGTGAATACAGCTCATAGAGGTCTGCAAACTCATCAACGCCGGTAAAATCAGCTAGAGGTCCACGCCTCCAGACTTCGCAGAGTCTGCTTTGGTCTGCAAAATTGCTCAGTTCAAACGCTCAAAGTTCGACAAAAATTTCATGCTCAAGTGGGAAAACATTCTAACGAATTAAACATTTAAGTCTCAATAAGCAGAGTCTAACCATCTGCTCGAGCAAAAACGAAGCAAACTCATAAAAAACACCAACAACCACACATCTACGAAGCTTACTTCAACCTACCAAGTAACAACAACTTCACTTCTCTTTCCGCGCGAACACTCTCCGCTTTCAAGTTTTTATCGATGGCTCTGCTCCGTGCAAGGGCTGCCCTATCTTCTGCACTCAAAGTGCAACCCATTTTGGCGGAAGGCCTAGACAGCTAGGTCTTTCACGTCCAAATAATGAGCATATTCGTAGAAACTACCTAACAGCCATCGGCATTGTACGAGGATCTCGAATGGTAAGTCTCTGTCCAGGCCCGCGATCTACGGATCCGCGGAGGCCGCTTGACATAGGGCGGAACATTAGATACTAACAGGGGTAGGGTTCGTAAGTGGATTAATAATCTCAAAGAATTGCTAAAAAAACACTTCACCAAATAAGTTCAAAAATAGTGAAATGAAGCAGGCTGTAAAATTTATCATTATCATCCCTCATCTTACAGAACCTAATCTTTTTCTCGTGATAACATTTACGCGAGAAAAGGACAGTCACTACCTCACGGACGGATTAACTTTGTTGCTCCGAAAAATGTAGTCTCTTCTTTTCGATCCAATCAGAAAGGGGCCTATAGAGAGGGCGACAAACAATACAATGGTCATAAAATAGCAAAGATATGTCGTGTCTTATCATATGACACGAGTTCTATAATTATCTTAAAGCGCATAGGTCCGTGCATGACATGGCAGGCATTAGGGAAGTAAAATCACAATTAAACATTAGATCTTGCAAGTAGAAGCTCTCTAGTGTTCTTAAATGGAATTAGGTCTTAATTTAGCTTTCTCTATTGCAAGGTTATAGCTGAGTGCCAGTTTACTGACGAACAAAACCAGTGGAAGTTTATTTAACGACTTTGGAACTTTGTTTTGCATCCTTGCAAACAAACGATCCTTTCCATGTGATTTTGACAATACAGTCTCTCGTGGACATCTAACTCATTGTCCCCCCCCCAAAAAAAATGAAATATTCAAATTTAAAAATAAAAAATCATGGCGTTTCAGAAGTGATAAAATTCTAACCATGCAAGGCAAAAAATTTCATTCACCATTGCATCACCGGTAGAGTAGTGGAACTTTCCAATAAAAAACATAGAATTATCATAGACGAAACATATTTAAGGAATTAAAGCAAAAGGTTCCTGTTTGCAGCCGATCAAAAGCTGAAAAAAATATCATTCACCATTACATCACCGGTGGAGTAGTGGAACTTTCCAATAAAAAACATGAAATTATCACAGACGAAACATATTTAGGGAATAAAATCAAAGGTTCCTGTTTATACTGGCGACCGAGGAACAAGACAGGCGAGAAATACATACAAGTCGTAAAGATATGATTTTATGTCTGAGGTTTTGCATGCTTCCGCATTAAACTTAAACAGTTTTGTAGAGTTTATTCGAAATTATTATTGGTTTGAAATGCAAAATAAGATAAAAACTACTCGCAGTTAGCCACAGCTAGTTGAGGCGAGCGGTAGCTCAACGCATAATAGAACATTTCAATTAAATCTAGCAACGATACAGCAATACAAAATGAAAAGAGCGATATAATAACTGACAAGTACCTTAAATGTTAAAGGGGCTTTATAACAAAATTGTTGGTAACTACCGTCGATTATAACAACTAAGAGAAAAAACATATGTGATTTACTATACATCTTTACAAGAACAGACAACCAAGCCTAAATACAAAAGGAGATAATCAATTGATTACTGTCTTAACAAACATTTTAAATTAAAAAAAATAGGAGATATGACATTTTTAAAAGTACTTTAACAAGACGATCGTAGCCAATTATATTAGCAATAGGAATCATAAACTTCAAGAAAGTAGGAAGGATGATCGGGCAACGCATTTAATAAGCCGAACTTTCAAGACATTTTCTTAATCAGATCAAGTAAATCGGTGTAATAATTTGCCTCCAAGAATTTTTTTGAAGGAGCACACAGTGAATTTTCTGCCTAGATTTCTGTTTAGACGAATGAGTCATTCCATCATGGAGAATATTCCAGACCTTCGTGCCGTTTCTGGAAAAATAATTTACTTTGCTTGTCTAGTCTAGAGTACTCGAAGAATGAATTATCGCTGGGCGATGATCTTGTGTTATATGGGTGAATATTAGATTGATAATTAAATATATTAGTGATCGGAGGTGGCGAGGATGAATTATTAAAACCGTCAGGTATTGAGATGGCAACTGATTTAAAACGCAGAAGATCTAAAGATACTAGATTGAAGGAGATGAAGAAAGCTATTGCATGAGATTCACCAGTAATCACCATAGAACAGGAGGTGGAGGGCTCGTTTTCCCCCCTTCCCCGGGCGATAAAAGATGGTCAGCCCCTAAACTAAATGTCTGGGTGTTCCTATATTGATGACAACCTCTCCTGCATGGAGTTTTCACATTGCTCACATCGCCTAGAAAATAAGATGTCAATCGGCATTATTGTTAGACTAAGACGTTTCACACCCTGGTGTAACTTAGAGCATGTAAGCAGATCACTTATCCAGCCCTGTTTACTGTAGGGTGTGGTTGCAAGAGGCATGGGACTAAGTTTACAGAACTGCATAACAGAAATAAAATCTTTTGGTTGCATTATGATAAAATTTACCTGATCCCTCCTCAGGCTCTGTAATATTGTTATGATATCCTCTTCTCATTGGCAGTTACATTGGCAGTCAATTTTCCATATTCTACCCATTATGCTCTGTTGTCGACGAGTCAGTTCCCCCTGAAAACCATGTGATCCCCAAATTTCTTTCCCCCGCAGGCGAAATAATGACTGGCATCTCAGTGACATAACTGTTGCGTTTCAAAGGAACGTTTGAATTTCTGTTATGTTCGAAAACTTTCAAATTGACCTTTAACGTACCTATTTTGCCCATAAATGATGTTTTTTCTGTAAACAAGAAAGTGGCATCCGTTTGGTGAGAAGTGTCTTATAAAAGCTTTGCAACTCCAAACAGAACATCCCCGTTTAAAACAGGGACGAAGATGGAAGATTTGAGGAGATCACATATTGGTCAGATGTTCGTGTTTGGTAGTTTATTGTCCACATCTCTGACGATAGATAACCTTCTAACATTGCCCTTCCGTCATATCAAAGTTCCTACTGATAAACCAATACTGCGCTTTTCGTGTGGCAATAATAACGCTATAACGCTTACAGCCTATATATATCCAAATACAGAAACGACATCATGTCTCTCAAATAAAACTGATGTCTTTAAGTACAAAATTCAATTGTCGTCTTGAAACAAGCAGCTATTTGTGTTTATCTATTGTCAAGATCACAGGAGTATCTGTGTTTGTAAGCAGCTAGGTCCTTCAAAACAAGCTACTCAATAACATCTGGCTTCACAAAATTGGCAAAGTTACAGTTTGTATAGATGACATTGTCGCAGTTGTTGTGGCTCAGTTTTTCATTTTTGTTTTTGTTTCTTTGTCTGTTTCAGTCACCCTTCGCTAAACTCGTGCACTCATGACAATCTCATCTGCTACAGACCTGATTTACGTAAGTTTTCAATTGGTAGGGTCACTTCATTCGCTGAGATAGATTTAGCAGGGTTTGTTACCAGAATTTATCCGTTGAACTTCCAGAAGTGATTAACATGTAACTTCTCCCTGTAATATCCATACATACATACATGTATATTATCCAGCACACAGGTAATGAGAATACTCAAACTTATCAAGAATATTTTCTTATCTTGATCTAAAGCCAAATTCTCGTAATCAATTTACTAGGAACTGTGTAGCGGCTGAAGGGGAGAATTGACAATCGATCAGATCTTGGGAGGAGTAAAGGGTTAACAACAAGAGAACCCGAGCAGCTCATAGTTGGTCGTGAAAAAGTCATAAGAGGAGGCTTACAGAGACAACATGATTCGTCATAGACGAAGTAATGAATTAGTTCTTAAATTAGAAGGTTGTGGTAATGACATGCGCCTCACTGACAAATCATCATATTTTGCGACAAATGAGTTTGCTGTCTTATCGTTCAATTGCCTAGTTTGTTTTTCGCAGCTGATTTCGAGAATTACATCGACAGCCTAGGGAAGCAATCTGCCTTTTTTCACGGACGACTGTGGCTGCAGTTACGTATGAGCAGTATATTACTTTCAGCAAAACACAGTTAAACAGTGATGTCCAGACGCGAACCATGGTTTGCAGTGGGAGTTATTTATAGATAACGTAATTGGCTCTTGGCCAATGAAAATGGAAAAAACAAAAACAAAATAACAAAGAACTAAAATAAGTCTTATTCCCTCGACTGTATGTGATAAATAACAAAAACAACATGGGCGTGGCCAAAGAAAACGATCTCTTCTCAATCACAGTAGGCAAATGAGGGTTGCAAAATCTTATCATGCCACTAAAATTACATCCGAAGTGGTAGCAAAGAGCCGGATAAAACTGTGCACTGTGTGATCAAGGTCTTACTCCAAAGTGGTCCCAAATTGGCATTTTTTACTGTCACTGCTCCAGTGATATTTGGGCTTTTATCCAGTGATTTCGGCATTGTATTGTTTTAAAGATGACTAAGAAGTTGTTAAGTTAGGTTTGAAAGTCAGAAAAAACCTTTAATAGAGGCGTTGAAGCCAGCAGAACATAAAATTACAAAGGAAATGTCCGGATCCTCCAATGAAGAGCCATCCTTGCGGCCCTTGTTTGGTCCCGTCACGTAACGCATTCGGTCCAAACTGCTTTCTGTGACGCGATCAAACATCGTAAACAAAGAACCTTTGGCAGCTTGTTGTTCGCGTTTCATCGCTTAACACTTCCTTTTTCGACGGTGTGGAAAAAAAAACGTTAAAACAAAATAAATAAACCAGGCAGTTATTGTAAAAAAGGACGATAATACTTTTTTTCTGTGTTATTGCTTCCCACATTATCAGATCTTTCCTGATTATCCCCGGTCTAACTTCCGCAAGCAAAAAAAAATATTTATGGGGATTAACCTTCGAAAGTGGCATCAACAAGATGTTTTCTCTTTTAATTAAGTAAGGGAGAAACAAAATTAACGAGGGAGTGAGAGTTTGAAAATTTCCATGACCTCTCAAACCTTAGTCCAACCCCTCATGAAAGACCGAGCGAAATGTTAGGCTTAACAGCCTGGCTGAGGAAGGAGGTCTGTTATTCACGAGAGGTCAGATTTAAAGTCGTAGTATGAAGTGGTTTACGATTCACAATCCTTTGACAACTAAATCCGTAACCCAAACAAAAGATTTCAGCCGAAAACACTTGAAATGGTTGTGACCCTCTACATTATCAATTTCCCGCTGAAGAAAATTTCTCAAAGACATTTGACTGTACTTACAATATGAGTGGTGATCATCAGACTCGTTAGCTAGATAAAAAATATATTGGGGGTCATAATTGTGGCGGAAAGGCACTGTTACCCAGCGAACGATTTATAGTTCAAAAAACAAATTCTAAAATGGTACGCTTGACTGATACACGAATTGTTGTTTACTTTACACATGGAACTGTTCTTGAGACCGCAGTGGGAGAGAATATTTTTCTTGTAGTTTTCCAGCCGGGCAAAACACTTTTTCCTGTTTTTGAAGAAATTTATCAAGGATAATCTAAGTAAACAGCAATAAACAAATCTGAACTTCACTACGGAAATTCGCTCCGCTCATTACGTCTCTGTCGTTTACATCGGGGTTTCGGGGTCCTGTCCTTAAATGGCGTCACTCTATTGTGAGTTAGTCTTGAGACGGCAACGGAATGGAAACCTCCTCTGCACCGAGCTTGCGGTTGCGACTTTGAAGAATCTAGAGGGCACTTTCCGGTACAAATACTCCTCAATCGAGTTTCATTTGCTCTTATTTCCAAATCTTTTGGTGCACGTGGTCGTAGTTATGATAGTTATTCCACCAACTTGTATACGAATGCAGTCAGTCGACGATAAATGTGCCAACTTCTAAACACCGGCAGCCACACCCTGTCGGGCAGACGTCCATTGTTTCGAACCACGTCATAAGATGGTATGTATGACCGCCATGACCACACGCCACACAGAAATTACTAGCGCCTTCAGTAACAGAAGAGAAAACAATTATTGAGACACATCATAATTTACAATTCATAGCACATAGATAAAATTCTATTTGTAGACAATCTATTCATTATTTCTTCTTATTATTATTATTATTATTTTTTTTTTTTTGTGACTGTCCATATTATTTCTTTTCTTTCCCTTATAGCAAGCCGAGCTCTGACTTTCCTTAAAATCTCTAAAAGAAGAATCGTGACCACTACTCGTATCTTTCACGGACTGACTTATTGATTTAATTTGAAATAAAATTACTCTTGGAATTGCCTTCACATTTACCATTGCCGCGTTGTACACGGAAGGAAACGACTCACGCGCACGAAGAAAGACTAAAAGCAAGAGTGGTTCGCGAGGAGAGCGAAGAAAGAAACTACTTCTGGTGCGTTTTGACATCAACAATCAAATGGAGAGCCCTTGATCAGTATTTGACACTAAATGTACAAACAAAGGGTTGGTAGCAAGCGTCAAGGGAAAGAACCTTCAAAATAAGGTATTTGTCCGCGTCTCAAAACATCTATGGTTCAGCTACTTATTGTACCAGGCATCACATCAGGAAAGCGATGAAAAGGACATGGTATCCGTCGAGGCCACGTTAGTCACACACACGCCACACACACGTGACGCAATCATCATCACGCTATTTAGCCGACTGCCAGTAAAATCCCCTTTACCTTACCTCTAACAGCCACATGACATATTACGCACTGAAAACCCAACGCTTTACAAGTGCCGCACTGAGCTCCACGAAACATCTGAGGACAGTTGTAACAGCGGGTACTGAATTCTACGATCAAAAAAGACACAACATCTCACCAAAATGATTTGCAGATCGCGTGATGGGCTCTCAATCCAAAAAAATGTATCGATACTTAATTTAGGCTCTGGTTTCCGATGATTCAGTTATATCGTTTCCATAATTCCGCTTGCAAAGCGCGCTAGCAGAGCTCCATGTTTAAGACAAATGGCATCCCATAGAGTCAAGAAGATTAAGTTATCACCTTGGTGCCTTCCGTAAGCAAAACCCATGCAAGGTAAGCAGCACTGCAAGCACCCCACGGAGTAATACACGTTGGTTAGCAGATACATTACATAATACAATACAAGTTAGTGCGTCATACGCTTTGCTATTCAAGCGTGACATTACAATAATGAATTGACACACCCTCTAATTTACAGATATTCCGCAAAAATTAAAAGAAACTACCAGCGGGGAATCCGAATAAAATAAAGGGCCGTAAAATTAGCTTATTAAACTCCCCTTTCACTTAGAGGCTTGCCTAAATCTTTTCGTTACCAAGACAAAAAATACAAATGATCACTCACCTACTCCCTTGTGTGGTTTTTGAGGTTCACTTAAGAATTTGATGACTTCAGCTCTCTTGCCCAGCAGATTCCAGCGGTACAGAACATCAGCATATTGGTTCATGTAGTGGTCATATAACCGAAGTTCTGAATTGTAAACAAATCTGAAAGGGATTCCCAGCATTAAGCTATGTTAACTAATATACTAGTTTCGAGTAAGCTTACTGCTTGAGAAATAAAATAAGTGCAAGAGAAGAATATAGTGAGAAAATCATGGTCTGTGGAAATCGGAATTTTGGTGAATAATTTTTATCATAATACAAGATAGAAGAATTAAACAGAAAAAGAATTCCATCGATCTCATCCTAAATTTTTGACTGGGAACCATTCTGATTGGGTGAACTTCCCAGGTTCGAATTCTAAAATTTTATGTGAAATTATCTTGTTCGGTTCAAGCCCAGGTCAGACCATTTTGTTGTACTCTTAAGCGCGACACTTTACGACCACGGTGCCTCTCTCCCACCAGGAGTAAGAATGGGTACCAGCGAAGGAAAGGGAAAGTGGAAGATAGGCTGGGAGGTAACACTTCTTGTCATTTCATGCCACAAAAACTACGATAAACTCCAAATGAATCGAGGGGTTAGTTTCTAAAGAAATTGTGGTGCTGCGTCGGTGGGCAGGGGTATCACAAGATAATTTGATCTTAGCAACTGCGTTGTTAAAGCAAAATCGCCACCGTAAAGGGTCTCTAAAGCCCTTAGTCGCTCTGACGAAGGGCTAACGCTCGAAACGTCAGCTTAGGAAACTCTCTACGATGGCCAATTTACATTACAACTCGGCTGATAAGACCAAATTCTCCTTAAATAAGCTCTTTTTCGTTAGCATCGTGAGACTTAACGAAAGAAAATCTGTTTTTTTGTCTTCCTTACACTATTCACCACTAGAGTTTGCTTTACTTCACATTCCTATCAGTGCAAGAGGATACTAAATCGCTAAACTCACCGACAATCATTCTCGTACTGCTTGCGTTGTTCTTCCTGCGGATTCTTTGCTCGAATGAACACAGGCGGCGACCAGCCACCACTATAAGGAAATGAAATCTCGCTCCACTGCTCCTCCGCTGGAGACATATCAACTGGCTCCTCTTCTATGACACTCCCAACAGATTTTGGTCGCTTATGGGACTTAATAAACAACAAGAGTACCGCATTGAACTTCACAGGAGATTTCAAATTTTTTTCGAATTTAGTTTACCTAAGAGAACCCTTCGTCATGTATCATCAAAAGCACAAATATGATTCGATAATTAGAATGTTCGTGGTCACATTCCTCAATGGAGAACAAAAGAACCAACTACGATTTAACTCAACTGGTAATGCAGTTGTAGCCCCTCCATGACCTGAATTTTCTCAACCGCCTCTTGAATATTATTTTTATCGTGGTAGTCGTGTTAATTTGAAAATCCACGAAAGATAATTCAGGATGTTCGACTTTCGACTTTCTATTCTGACATTTAGTTTCCCACCTTCGTTGAGTTCTTCTTGTACAGTTGTAATAAAATCATCCCAATTGTAACGAAGACGTGTTCGTCACACAAAATCGCAGCAATAGGCATACAAAATTCTGACTAAAACGAAATCCACCATTTCTACCCTTACTCATAGTTGCAAGTTTAAACGATATTCATTATGAATTTAACCACCTCTTAACGCACCCCCCCTCCCCACTAAAAAAAAAAAATCCTTCCAGGCCCCCTCCTTCATAAATGTTACCATGAGCCACTTACTTGATAAGGAGTATCAGTGACTTGTGATGATGACGAGCCATAAGTTAACGGCTTGCTTGATGCAATGACATCCGGCTTAAAGTCAACTTTAGGAGGTTTGAAAGGTTCTGGGAGGGAGGGGTGGGCCAGGACACAAGCCAGCATTCCTAACATCTGAATGTCCCGGATGCGTAAGTAGTAATCCATTCTGTTAATAGAAAGTGGAAGATGAGCAGCTACATATCTTAAAGCTCCATTTTTTTTGAGTAAAAGAGTATGGAAACCTAAATGAGCATGTGCTCTTTTTCGTTGCCAGATAAAACAGGGCCTGGTTTCCGAACGGTATGTTTTCGTAAATGGTAGATATCCTCGTGACGTCTTAGTACTTAGAGGAAGTAATATTGAGTTTGCTGTTAATTGAGGACTGCTTAGCAAGAATTAATTGTTTACTCACAGGGATTTGATCATTTTCCGTCCAAATGGATGTAGTGCCCAGGGCGACTCATCCATCGAATCAGTGGGCGCGAGCTTGTTATCGAGGACTGAGCTCAAAAGCGACCACGTCTGTACCAGGTCTTTGCGGCCAGTTGTCATTGCAGCCGCCAGATTCTTTTTACAAATTTCAGTGATTTTCTTTCCTTCAAGCCTTGATAAGAAAAATAATAACGCAAATCAAAAAAATACGGAAAAACGTCCCAACTTCAATGCTATCACGTGTGACACAAAATAAAGTTTTGGTATGTCAAACCAGGTGAGATTGTGGCGAGCATTTTTACGCATCCATTCCAATTGATTTAAAATCCGGTTGTTTAGGATCAAAGTATCACAGCTTTTCTTGTTACAATGGTAGCAAGGCTAAGGCATTGTGACCTTTAATGGATTTTGATCCATGGTGTTTTGTGTACCTTTTCACCACGTTTTCCCGCACAATACGCTGTTACGTCAAAGTTCATCGTTCATCGGTCCTACTTACGTGTACGCTTGTCCCAACGACTGGTGAATGGGCATCAGAGCACTGACGTCACGAATCACAACGGGGCCAACATCACTATTCCTTGAGGTTACTCCACTGTATTTTTGTGCATCATTTAAATCCCCTTGCTGCGTGACACAACACAGTAAGTCAGTGACGAATGAGTAACTTCCTTTCACATTCAACAGGCAAATTACAGTGACAGGGAATGATAATAAAACCCTCTATCATTCTGTAATGAACTTTATTACGTAAGACATTCAATTGAAAAGTTTATTGATATTATAACACACTGGCCCGCGAAGATATGAAATTTCTCTTCGAGTTGAACACGAGAGGAGAAATGGAAATCCTTGTAAAACACCCCACTTTGATGTAATAAAATTACTAAATATATTGGTCAGTTCACAGGAGTACCACACGCACGCCCTCGTCAACCCGATAATCCACCAAGCAGAAGGCCCAATTCTGTTCACCTGGTTAAACGACCTGAACATCATATTCCTTGCAGACGATTGATGTCCAAATGCACTAAATGTAGGTCTGTATTTCTGAAGCGAGCTGTTGATGAGGGGAGGAAGAGCTGGTCCGCTACTAGGGCGAGAGCTGTACGCAGAGAAGGCCGAAAGGGACCTGTACAAGAAAAACATAAACTCGAATGAAAAGCGGGAAATAGCCTGGATGTAAAAATTTAACTCGTATACTTTTCAATGAGTAACACCTTTGAACACCAAAAGATTCATTTGTGATAACTTAAGAAGGGAAATCGTCAAATCAACACACATCAAGGCTTCATTGGTTCCTTAAGAATATGACCCAAGGTAGCGATCAAAAATTGCCCAGGGGAACATGGGGAACAGGGGGAATGGGAAGGTAGGCTACATAGTGATGAGGACGCGTTAGTGTGCAGAATTGTCCCGAAAAATAAAACATGAAGGCACGCACACTAGGGCGTAATTAGTACACACAAATCCGAGAACCGGTGGACTGATAAACAGGTGTTCAAATAATGCTAGGAAAGAGAGAATAGATAGATGCAAATTTCAGATAAACAGTATTTCTCCTCCCCATTTCAATATATCATCCTACGAACAGATATTCATTTGAAACTGACAGTTATGTGTTGTACCTGGGAGTTGGCTCTCCACCAGACCCCAAACGGCCACTATACCTTCCCGGTAAATTGAAGCACACAAGTAGTCCTATAAAAAAAGAGTTCTAGTAAACGCCATCTCTTGGCCATTTGGTTCACAGAAAAATTCCGTAAAACGGTTAAACATGTCAAAGGAATATTACTAATGATGATAGTAGTAATACTACTAATACTTGTAACATCAGTAACGATGATGATGATGATGGCGATAATGATAATGATACGAAAAACAATTTTTCTCGTGACAAACACAAATGACCAAACAAACCAAGCAGATCTCTAGTCAAAATGAGCCACCGGTGCAAGGACAAAAGATCAACTGAGCACAATGCAAAACACGACTTGTTTGACTTCTGATTGGGTCAAGAGGAACCCACGAGATTTCAACAGCGTATCGATACAAAGATAATTTAAAGAAAAAACTGTCTAGTGTTAATTCAAGTTGTACATGTAAAAAAAATTAATACAAATTGTTCGGCCTCTCACAACATGCCCCAAAAGGCACGTAATCTACCCCTAAACTTACCACATGCACAAAACTTGGCCCCAGAGGTGCGCGGGAATGGAACGGCTGCGTCCAGGTAGCTACCATACGAGACTGGGTCGAGTCTGCCGTGAATCGGGGGCGCAGAGGACGCGAATGGGCCCGTGGGTAAATCTTCTTGAAGCTAAATTAACGAGATTTCTTAACGTCACGGCAAGAACTGGAAACATAATATGCTAGTGGCTTGAGGCCAGAAACCACAAAAAGAAAGAACTCGACTGTGCGTCGAGTGCGAATGTCAAACTAGTAAGATACTCCGAAACAAACAATAAAACATCGCGTCAAAATTGGATCAGGATCGGATAGGAAGCAGTAGCCACAAAAAAATAAATCAAACCATGAATTACTCTTCTCAATATACTTGAAAAAGATTATTCACAGGCCTAAAGACCCTAACTTGAGAGAAACCACGGGTGCAAAGTTTGATTTGTAAGAATTTGGTCATAATTAGAAAGCAAGATGTGATTCCATGACGATCGACGCACCTATTTGGACGGAAGGTAGTTAAGGCCATTTTTTAATCAAAACATCAGTATCGTGCCTCCTCGCCCTTTAGCTCCCAGATGTGATCTCCCCGTAATATCCATACATTACTCAGCAAAGAGGTAACGAAAATACTCAAACTTGTTAGGTTTAAGTTGTTGTCTTGATCCAACACCAAATTCTCGTAACGAATTTAAAAGGAAATGTGTAAGTGCTGGTGGGGAGAATAAACAATCACATCTTGGGTGCTAAAGGGATCAATGTTATGAAAAAACGACGGCGGATAGTCTATCTTACAACTTCAAATCAAATTTCAATAATTTGAGATCTTGTAATTTAATTTGCGACTTTCTACACTACAGTTCAAAACTTAGCACAAACCTTACCTCGCCTACATGAAAGCAGGCGGGCTATAATGAAAGGAATACTGTGTAAGGAAAGTGCACTAGCTCACCGTTAATTCTTCAAGATGGCTGACGAGTTGTCTGAGGCATGGCTCAAGACATGTTTGGTTTGACTTCACATGCGTTTGAGCCGTCTCACGTAAAGTCTAAAAGAAGGGAAACAAATACACCCTTACATCAATATCCCTACTCTCCATACTCTTCTCTAGACATTTCCCTTGGCACTAGAAAGGAGAATTTGTTTGACAATCAAAGCTTCTTGAGCCGGCGATCATTTCCTTTTATTCTCATGATCTTGATGAATGATTCAGCAGTATCACTGTAAGGAGAAATTACACGCCGGTCACTCTCATGGTGTACAGGTTTAATTGTTAAAAGTGAAATATAGCGAATCAGCGCTGGAAAACGCCAGTGTCTGATTGGACTCCAAAGGGGGTGCTGTTACTCTTCGACACTCGTCTCGGATTCCAATATATCATAACAAGTCGTTTCAGCCAAATAACTTATTTTTGCTGCTCTCTCTCGTTATTGCACTAATTTAACCCTTTAATCCCTTAGAGTGATTAGCATCTAATTTCTCCTAACAAAATCATCCTTGAATCAAGCTATAAGGTCATGAGAATCAAGGAAATGATCACCAACTAAAGAAGATCTTGATTGTTAAACAAATTCTCGTTGTCAGCACCTTAGTATCAAGAGTTAGTGACACTTAAAGCATATCTGCGACCTATCTCCTCCAAGACAAAGCCTTCTCAAGTGTTTCTATACTGATATCCGAGCTTACCTTCATGAGCTTGGTTTTAGTACTGACGTCAATGGAGGTATCAGGCGTAAACTCAAACGATGGTATGGCATTATTAGGATAGTGAGATGGGAAGTTTATTACCAGCGATACAACATTACGGCCATTGGTAACGTTCACCGTACAGCTCCTATGTCCAGCGTCCATCTGAAAACAAAGGACAATTACCTTAGCAGCCTCGTTCATATGGGAGACGCGCTGGCCTGGATGTTAACCATCTATATCTAGAGGTCCCATGCAACTCGAGAGCTGGCCAGGTCGCTAAGCTTTGTACTTAGGATAGAGACTTTAAATAATCTCACAGTGTCTCTCTTCAACGAGGAGTACAATGGGTGCTGCCACGGACCGCTTCGCTCGAGCGCACTTGATCAACGATATTTCCGTGTGAACAGTCGTTTGGTACAACCTGGTGATTACTTAACTAACCTGACTAAAGATAAAACGCAAATAATATACTCTTGACCTCCCGTATACCAACAAGCAACTCTCCCTCGCAACCTCTCTCTATATCCTTATGAATGGATTAAGAGAATTAGGGTGATATCAAGATAGGAGCCTTAAGTTGATATGTTTATGTGTTAACATCACCTTTTTGCTGGATAATGTATTCATATAGTAAGGAGAAATAACATGTTTAAGGCACGGAGTGTCGGAAAAAATCTTGAATAGCTTTGGTTTTGCTCCTACTTCGCTCTGCGATTGGTCTTGAAAACTCGCGCCACTATCTCAACCAATCAGATGCAAAACAAAAACCAAAACCAATCACGACTTGGTCGCCCACGTTTTCCCGCGCCTTGGGCAGTTTGGTCGATTTTACTTTGAGTTCATATTGGCTCTTAAAGGTATTTCCCTTCCTTCTGATTGGCCTTGGATATTACTTTGGTTTCACAACACCTAATCGGAAATAGCTCTAGCAATTGTACCATTCAAGGGTTCAGAGGGATTAACACTTACCTGTTCAACAATGACATTAGGAATATTAACGTTAATAAGCGCAAACTCCTGCTGTAAAGTGTGTGGTTGCACAGCCATGTCAGGGATCACATCAACCGAATCAATTATAACAGAATCTAATAAGACGGACTCAATCAAATCGTCACGCTTGGAAGGACTTGATGCACTTGCGGTTTTAGATGGAAAATTAACCGCAACATCTCCATTACAGGCCTGTTAATGAGAGAAATGGAACAACTTTTAATCGATTATCGAAACTGATCAAAGATTGCATTGGTTTTGCTCTACTTGGCTTAGTGATTGGTCCAGAAAACTCGCGCCATACTCTCAACCTACCAAATTAAAAAAAAAAACCGATCGACACTGTGACCCGCGTTTTCCCGCGCTTTTGAAAGTTTGCTTGTTTCTACTGGGTTCTTATTGGCTCCCTAAGGTGTTTTATTTCGCTCCGATTGGTCGTTTGAATTGGTTTTGGTTTTGAGACACTCAATCCTAAAGCGCTCCATCGACAACAGAGAGCATTTCAAAGGCAAAAGTTAAAGCAATCACAGTGGTCATTAAAAGACAAACAAACAAACCTACAAAACAAAACAACCAAGGAAAAGAGCGATGACATGGAACCAATTAAGACCTCAGAGTAAAAACAAGCAAACATCCTAAAGCATGGGAAAACACGACTGACCAAGTCGCAATCGATTTCAGTTTCGTATCTAACCAGTTAATAACTGGGGCGAAAGCGTGTTTTACTTTACAACACTCGCAACGCGTAACGAAGAATACGCAATGCAAGTCACGGTACCGAAAAGGTGTAAAACAAAAACATCCTACTTCGCACGGTGAAAAAGAAATGGCTCAGAATAAAAATAATTTTACTGGAAATACCTTCCGTTATATCTTACAACCGTTTCTAAAATTTCTGCTTCATCCAAAGGACCTAGAGCACGATTCGCACACCTTTTAAAAATAAAGCCGAAAAGTTACTAGGCCTGTTTGCAACTCACTTCAATCCTCTCTATGCTTAGTAAGGTACTAAGTTTTAATTTTTCTTCCTTACTGAAAAAATACTTTCAGTCTCTATTAAGTAGAAAGTAGAAAAAATAAAAATTCAACATATCCCAACTAAGCTACATTTTTCTCATCTTACCATGATCCATTTGGATTCCATCGCCCACATTCGCAAGGTTTGGTCTTTTCCCCAGGTGATGAGCTGAAACTGTTCCTCATCTGAAACAGAAATCACTCATGTCATTAGCTGGCATTCATACCAGTTATCCTCTATCACTTTTCTCTAATCAACCGTTCGACTCCCCTCTAACTCCTCTCTCCTCTCATTTTCACTTTCTCTTGTCCCATTCTTCCCCTTTCTCCCTTTTATCGCCTCTCTCCTTTCCTCCCTTCTCTCTATCCCTTTGCCACCCTGTTCTCCCCTCCTTGCCCTTTCCCCTTCTCTCTCCTTCCCTCTTTCTCCTCTCTACCCCCCCTCTCCCCTCTGTCGCAGCTCTTCCCGTAACAATTTCACCTTCCATCATTTGAGATCTCCACTGGAATTCCAAAACAACGTCACTGTGACCAACAAACGTATTCACTTGGGACGACACGGGTGAGCTGATGTTCCACAGAGATAAGCTATTTTCTGTGGCTCGCCTCATCTGAGGTAAAGTGAGAGTTACGAGACCTTCACCAAATGGCTGAAAAGAAATTGAAAAACTTGAATTGACAGAGAAAGCAATGTTTTCTAGAATCATTTCCGTAATGTTGACATGCAAGTTAAGTTGGCTCCCTCTACTTGCTCAGAGTGTTTGAAGAGTACATCTAAAGAGATAAGCAGACTTTTCTGACTTTTGTACAGGATTGTATCTTGCACTCCTCGTCGCAAATAATTAGGAAACTATGATTAAAATGCACCATGGGCATCCCATCTTCTCTGCCTCTAAATTTTGCTTTTGCATACCACATTTCCTTGAATAAGCACCCATGCTCTCATAAACACCCTACCAAAATAAGCACCCACCCCCTAGGCCATAATAACAAACAAGTGCCCCCCCCAAAAATAAGCACCCCACCCATCAGTTTAGATTTCTAGTCATCAGCTGACAGTCCCTGGGTCGTGAGGATGGGAAATCCTGTTTCTAATACCACTTTATCTAAAACATTTTAAGCTTCAACTATAGCTGGATCAGTACAGGTTGATGATTTCCTAAAAAGCACCCTCCCTCCAATAAGCACCTTTCCTTTTAGTCACATTTTAAATGAGCCACCAAGGGCTTATTCAAGGAAATACAGTATCTAAACTTTGCATAATTCAGACAGTCATTGAAAAGGGGGCTGTCTCAAAAAGACAAAAGATCACTTATTGATGGTAACATTGTTTCTCTTGTCTTGATGGCAAGGGCATTGGTGATGCAGTTACCCCTCATTAGCAGATTGATTTTTCACACAGGGTATTGTTCCATAGTTCACAATGATAGTAATGGTAATTTGTGTAGCCATACACTGTGTTTCTCTGAGAGTCTAAACAGCATTCATTTCATGACCTTAACACCAAGATTTTTTTACAAAAAATTTGAATGGATTGAAGCTGACTGAAGCCCTTACAGTGAATCTGGCCCGCCACACAGGAGCATTTGCAGTCAGCTTCAGCTTGTCTTCTGGCTGCCGAGGGTTTTCTGTACTCCACAACTAAGTAGAAGAAAAAATTAAACATACAAATGTGAAGAACTTTCTTAAAGATTTTCCAGAAATATGCTTAAGTGTTTTGAGTATGTTTAAAATACCAAAAGGAATTCCCTTTACGGATGAAAAAACTTAAGATAAAAATTTTCTAGTGTTGCTGAACACCAAAAAGGTATAATTATAAATATATCTCTAGTCAAAAAGAAAACGAGACAGTTGACCCTTAACTCCCTAACATCAGTATGCACAGTCTGGAAATTGTCCTCTGTACATTTCCCATGCTACTGTTAAGGACATTTCATCCAAAAATCAAGAGCTGACCTTGATGTTTGATTAAGAAGTAATGCAGTAGGGAGAAATTAGACCCTTGTCACTCTTTGGTGTTTAAGGGTTGATGACAGTGAAGAATTACATGGACTGCAAAAATTTAAGCTTCAGTTTTCTAGTGGAACTAAAACTGACAATGCTCTTTTACACAACTTTAAGACTAACCTTGACAGTAGAGTCTTTACTGCATGTTGCGAGCATTGTTCCACTTGAGCGAGACCAATCCAATCCATAAATCTGAGAAAGATGGGCTGTGACGTACACCACGGGGGTGTTACCTTTCTATAATCAAATGATGCAAACAATAATTACTGCACTTCCAAAGAGCATTTCCTTGTTGAATATCGTTAACAATAACAACACTGTATGTAAATGCTTTTGCATAAGTTCCCATTCTAGCATTCCTGCACATTAGGTTCCATTTTCTCTCAGAACAGGAGTCACATGTCACTAGCCAGTCATGTGTTTTTAGTATTCCAAACAAAGTTGAGCCCTGCATTTAGAAGTTAATTTCCCTTAGATTTTGAAACTTATTGTATGTTTTGGTCTTAATACATGAGTGATGAAAGTTTATGGAAGGTTCAACAGAGGAAATTGTAATCCAGAGTCATAGTGAAATTAAAGTTTTTGTAAACAAAAGTTCAATTCAACAGACAGTCATGTGAAACACTTCTATACCCACAGCTACACTGTATATTTACCACAATAGATAACCACACCCTCAACAAGCATTTTTAGGTCAACTGATATCATCTCAGTGGCAGTTTGTCCTTTGAAAATTGAGCAAGGAAAAGACACATTAATATCAATGAAATATCAGTACCCTCAAGTCCCATATTCTCACATCTCCTTCATGGCTGGTGGCAAGCACATGTCGATTTACTCTGTTCCATTTGACTTGAGATGCCCCAACTGACATGAAATGAAGTTAGCAAATCTCTAATGAAAAATTGTTCACTTAAAGTTAACAAATTCTTCAAGGGCACAACTCTTCCTTAAGATTTCAGCTATCTTTAATTATAATTAAAGTGCTGTCAATCTTAACCAAGATATTTCCAAGATGGCACAATTATCTTGTCTATACATACCAATGGCCTGAAGTGAGCTGGCTGGCTTTTTTGCATCCCTGTAGACAGTGCAAAAGGGCAAATCTATGTAACAACTTGTCTTATGACAGTGAATGAGCTGCATGAATAAAAACAGCTCCTCAACAGTGTGTCATACATTTCTGGGTGGTTTCAACCCTTTTACCCCAAGATCTCATTGTAATTCTCCTTACTGTCTGTCATACAATTCTTATGAGGATAGTTTGGAGAATTTGGTATTGGATCAACTAATAATCTCCTAATTGATATTTATCTCTACTCTCACCACTCGTCTACCTGACATTGTATAGATATTGCAAGGAGAAATTTTTTCTTGATCACTCATGGGTATAAAAAGGTCAAGTCACAAAGAGAACAGACATGAGAAGATACAGATTTTGCTAATTGTGGGTGTCAAGCAATTCTTCCCAAACTTTTTTTTAGGTGATGATCTAACATTCTCACATGTAGTTCCATAATCACAAAAACTGCCATACCTTAAGTCCCAAATATAAATATACTGGTCCATTGCGCAAGTGGCAAGAAGCTGAGGGTCAAACCATGACCAGTTCAAGTCACTATAATCAAACAAATTAATAGTTCCTCAGTGTTCTCCTTTTCAGGTGGTAACTAGTAAAATTTACCCCATGTAGTATTCCTTAACACCACCAAAAATTGCTTGAAATTTTTAAAATCCAATCACTAAAAGGATTGCTCAACTGGTGAGTCACTTTTGTGACTTCCTTCCTTCTTTTCAAAATAAAAGTTTAACAACAACAAGAAATAAACTTTCTCATGAATGAAAAAGTGAACATGTTCCATCAAACAGCTTTTTGAATGGAAATAATGTCCACAAACAAAAATATACTGTGACAGATGAGTGAAGATGCAGTTTCTAGCCTGACTGAACTCTGTATTGAAAGATTCAAGTATAAAGCCTTAACATCGGTATACACATTCTCCGCACTTTTCATTGCACATTTCTTGTGATATTAATAAGGAGAACTTTTCAAACAATTAAGAGCTTCTATAGCTTGTGATCATTTCCTTCATTCTCATAACCATGATGTTTGATTCAGAGGTGAGAGAGACTGTAAGGAGAAATTAATTGGAAGTAACTCTTAGGGGTTTAAGAGTAAAGCTCTAGCCTGGTCACTCTCATTGTGCCTGTTTCCTCATGAGGGAAAGTTAACTTCAGCAATTTCTTGGAAAAACCATAAAAAGGTTAAGGGTGTAAACTGCACTAGAATAGCATCCTATCCAGTGACTGCTACATAATCTATGGCACAGTCTAAGGATGTGGGTCACTTACAGGCACAGACCCAGAAAATTTCTAATAAGGGGGGGGAGTCAAAATTTTGATTCAGAAAGCACTAAAACTGTTTTTGTACCCATTTTTATTGCCTTATATCTTTTCTAACAAAACCAAATATTAATACCATTAATAAGTTTGGAAAAAAGAACAAATGTAAAGAGAAAAGAAAGTAGTTACCTTATTGATCTTGTGTGGCCCCTAAGAATGTGTTGCTGTAAGTCATTACCATCTCTCCAGGACCAAATTTCTAGTTTTTGGTTGGACTGCAATACAACAATAAGGCAGAAGGTCACTTAATCTCTTAAGATTTACAAAATAAAATGAACTGCTGCATGAATACAATACAGAAAATTCAGATATGCAGGTAATAGTAAGAATTTTACACCATTAGTAATAATGATAATAATAGTAATAGCGATAGTACAATGCAATAACACAGATATATTTATGGTCAAAATTATACAAAAAATAGAACACTCACCGTATAAGCAAATATATGAGCATGTGTCAAATGAGGATTCCATTCCACGGCACCACATTCCCATTTGCTGTTCCTTGACACTTTTTTTGTTACAGTATGAGGAGCATTCAGGTCAATAAATGCTAAACCTTTCCGTCTGTGGGAAAACCATGTCAGATACAATTGAAAATTATTAATAAAAAAAATGCCCTTTCTTTTCTCTTTTAACCCTTTTCCCTTTCCAAATTTCCCTTTTTCTCTTTCTGATTTTCACTTTTCTGAGACTAATTATGTTCACTTGTAACTTGATAATTAAATTTAGAGCAAACTCTAGGAAAGCTTCATGACAACCCTATGAATGTGGGATAGCCTATTCAGTAGCAGGGTTGGTATCAAGAGGGGCCATGCACAAATTAAAACATAATAAATGATTGTTGAAAGACTTTTCCTGTGATTTCAAATTTTGACAATCATGCATAAAGCTTGTGAATAATGTTCATTCTAGATGTATTTTGAATTAAATTCATTTTTCTCATTTTACCTTTGCAATGTTAAAACAAGATTGCCAATTTAGAGAGCGTTAAAATGTTCAGGTGCATTCAAAGCATTGGTATGATCACAAACGGTACGAAACGAGCAAAACACAAATACGCCACTAGCCGCAAAGACGGGCCTGAAAATATCACCATGGAAAAAGTTACTTACGATCCTAAAACAGTAAACTGGCCCGTGCAATCCACAGCCATGACTGTAGCCTGGAAGGATAAATGTTCCCTGGTAAGTAAACCACAGGAGTATTTTACAAAAGTTTAATTTACGGCTCACTTGCACAGGTATAAACTACCGGAAGTACACTATTCCAAGTTTGGAAAATTTGAGATACTTAGAGGAAGGAGATTTTTATCGGGTGACCGGGTGAATCAACATGAAAATTCATATTTATTAGCTGTCCGCCTGCCTGGGCGGATTAAGTAGGGGGCGAGTACAGCATAACAAATCATTGCAGTCGTCTGCCCTCAGCAATCGTATAAACCAAATGATTGATTGATGTGCAAGATGGACCAACGGGATCAACTTGCATGCACTTAGTCCACATAAAAATTACTATTACTACCATGCAGGAGGTATGTAGTGATATTATTTCCCATAAAAAGAAACTCACGGGCCAGTCTTTGTATGCTGCCACAAAATCTTGGTAGACCGCCATCTTGGATTGACTCACGTGAGACTCCACTGATCAATGTTGTGATAGTGCAGGCTCGGTACTACGCATACGATTGACGGCGACATTCGGCGACGATCCCCAAAGATATTCGGGAAGAATTCGTAGGTGGAATTTGAGGTACCAGAATTTTGGAGCGAAAGAGTCTGGTCTCAGAAAAGAAACGATGATTCTACAACGTCTAGAAAAGGAGAAGAGAAAGATTCAAGAGGCGAGTAGTTACGAAAATAAATTTATTTTCTTACTTAAAGTATTCTTTCACAAAAAAACGAGAACAGGTCAAGTGAAGTATAAGTATATTTTCAAGAAACGAAAAAGACTGATGCTTTTCAAGGACGATCTTAGCATTCAGCAACGGTTTGAAACTGTCGAGATCAATATCAGTAACGTTCCCAATTAAAAAATCATAGGCAGTTGATAAACAATAAGCTCTTTTAATTGGCTGAAAAAATGTTTATTGACAACCGCCATATCATTATTAACCACTGAAACAATATTCTTTGTCTCCTTCAAATCTGCTCTTTAGCATGTCGCTTAATACCTCTCTTTTCGTTCCTTTGAGGGGAAGGTACAGTAGTTTATATATGAAAATATAAACTAATGGATGTTGTGTAACAAACACCAAATTTTAAGAGCTAATCTTATAAGAAATGTATTGCAGACTGTGAGGAGAATTAATATTTTGATCTTGAGAGGGAAGGTTAACCCTTGAATGCTTAAGAGTGACTCACATCTTGTTTCTCCTTACATAATCATTGCTGAATTGCACATTAAGGTCACAAGAATAAAGGAATTGATCCACATTTAAAGAAGCTCTTGATTGTAAAACAAATTCTCCTTGTCAGTTCCACAGGAGATGTTCAGAACAGTGTGGAGAATATGCATAATAAAGTTAGGTTGTAAAGGTTAAAAAAAAAGAAACTTTCTTTTCTTGTCTCCATCTGTCACGGTTCATTATTTATGCCAATTGTATGCATGCTGTCTGCTAAACAAGGAACTTCTGTATTTATCCATTTTAAAAGCAATATTGGCTGACCCATACCATGGATGACAGCATAAAGAATCACTTGTTTCAAATACAAATGCAAAAGTTTCTTTTTTTTTTTGGTTTACGGGAAGACACACGAACAATATTGGAAACAATTGTTTCCTTTTTTTCTTACAGAGATGACAAACTAAAACTTTGGCACAACTCTTGTTGTAACTTTAGGATTGTAAATATTATTGTTTTAAGAGGAAGTGTGTCTCATGTGAAAGGATGTCAAGGTTCATTCTAATCAAAACTTCAAACTTATATCGCACTGAAGAGTAGTTATTTTCACATATAGCTTAATAACTTAACAGATATAGTTAAGTGTTACTAAAACCTGTAATAGTTTTTCTTGGATTGAAATAACATTGAGTATTTGGGGTAAAGCACACAGTTTGTTTGCATTCACATTTGTCTCAGTGCTTTGTTTGGAAACATTCTTTAGGTGAGTAAATTCATGCTTTGTTTGAGATAATTGAAAGTTTGAATTCCTTAAATTCCTTGTCTGTCTATTGAATTGGATAATTGACATGTATATTGTTGATAACCTTTTTTGCCCCTGAGGGCAATTAGAAGCTTGCCGACATTTCAGCAAACTTGTTTAACATATTTTGAGATTTAAGAGCAATGCTTTCAAATCTGAATGACACACTGTCGCTCTGTTTGTGCCTTAAATAATCACTTGTCTCTTGAAGAGTGTTTTTCAACAGTTTAGCTTTCAAATCTGGCCAAGAATTACAAGAATGTTCTTCATCTAGTGATAAGTTTCTGTTTGAATGCGATAATCCTTTAGAAAAGAATGCTTGTGGTATGTTTTACCAATTATGTCCTCACCCTCACAATCAACCCTTGTATGTTTGGTTAACTGAGTAGAGTATTTATAAATTACACAGCATCAACAGAAAATTCCACCATACCCACTATCATTAAATTTGTTGGTCTGATTTTTTCCTTGTTGTGGTTTCAAACAGTTTGCAAAAATGATCAGTTTTTTATTTCTTATGACCTGCCTAAATTCCATTTTACATTGGCCTTTAAAATGGAAAGATATGTCACTGTATATGCTATTGGAGATGGCACTCAATGTGCCTTGAAGTAAAACCAATGAGTGTTTAGATTAATTTTAATCTCATCAGCTGTGTCCAATTTCTCAAAAAGAGGTTAAATCAGGGTCACTGTGTTCAAGTCTTGTCTGCATGCTTCTGTCTCATGGTCCAAATTGAAATCACAAATTCTGTATTCTTTTCATAAACTTCAAAATGGAACACAACAACTCCAACTGCCAATTTTCAGGTAACATCACTATAAAGAGTATCATTGTATAAATTGTTTCTGAATGGTGTTCACTGATGGATACACAATGAGTCTTTAATCAGATCAGCGTGAACTACTGAGGAGTATTTTTTCCTCACGGTTTTCTTCTGGCTTCAGATTTCTGTGAGCAGTAAAAACTCATACCACTCCCTCCAGTGTTATGTGATTAACGAAATTATCTCCTACCAGATAGAACACAATACTACCGTCACATTGTTCTTATACTTTTACAACTAGGGGTGAAATATTTGCACCTTCTGAAATGCCATAATTCAAATTTCTTATTGTGTATGTGTGTACTAAATTTGAGATTTATGGAGGTTTCATGAGTTTGTTCCATGTACAAAGAGTCTTTGTCAGGTTTGAGAAAGGAAGAGCATCACTCTTTGATGTTCTTTCAATGATGTGTTGCTAACATGAAGTATTTTAGAGTTGCAAACACTAACATGTTAAAGCGGCTGGTGCTGGTTAACGGTTTTCCGGGATCCCAAATTGGGCAATGTTCTTTTACGCACTATTTTTTACAAAAATTCAATACAACACAGGGTGTAACAGATTGCTTTTTAACACATTTTTTTTGAGCAAATTCTCCATGAATTATTTCAAATCTGTCAAAAATTCAAAGCTTTCACACCTTCCAACATGCATTTTACTCTGAATCATTTTATGAGATTTCCCTTAACCCTTTACACCCTAACATCAGTATGCAAGTTCTCCATGTACTGTTCTCTATACATTTTCTGTGGTACTTGCAGGGAGAATTTGTCTAACAATCAAGAGAATCTTGAGCTTGTGATCATTTCCTTTATTCCCATGACCACAATTTTTGATTCAAGAATATGCACCATTAAAACAAATGTGGCCAGGTGGATAACAAATTTAAAAAAGTAATTTTTTTTCTTTACAGGTGTGTGTCACAACTGTAAGCAGCAAATAAATGGCTGTGAATCAGCTTGTGTTGCCATGGAACATCTATACCATGTTCATTGTTTCCTTTGTTGCTTTTGTGGTAAGATGATTCTTCAATTGCCTTATTATTACCATGGAGGAATTTTGTGGTTCAGAAATTTTCAATTTTAGCTATGATTTGCATTCAGATTTGACATAAAGCAAACACAGCCCTTCCCAAGAATGTATTGGAAAATGCATTTTCAAATTCACCACACCTCAAAACAAAATTCCTTCCCCCATTTAATGAGGTAGAGTTGAAGCAGGGGTATAAGGTTCAAAACTGGTGGTAAGTTAAAAAAAATTAATCAATTTAGAATACTAGAGAAGGGTTTTCTCGTTGTATTGTTTGACATCAAAGCCTGTCAGAAGCAGGTTCATTCTCCATCTGATTGACATCCACCTCTGGAACCATCTGTGTTTTTCTTCCCTACTGAATCAGGCATTATTAACAGTTGCTTTGGTTTTGAACTAATCTTTCACACTTCCTTCTCTCAGGAAACCAGTTGATTGGTCAAATATTTTATAATGTTAATGGAAAGATTTACTGTGAACAGGATTATAAGGTTTGTAACATTAATTCATGTCTCCCTGCCTGAATTAACCCATTACACCCTAACATCAGTATAAATTTTCTCTCCACTGTTCTCGGTACATTTCCTATGGTTTTGACAAAAAGAATTTGTTTTAACAATCAAGAGCTTCTTAAGTTGGTGATTACTCCTTCATTCTCATGACCTTAAAGTTTGTTTCAGAGGAGATACTGATAAGAGAAAATAGTTACTATTTTAGGGGTTAAAGGGTTAACTGCAATTGGGCTATTATAACAAACTGGACTTTTTCAAAAATAAGGCTATTAACCCTTTAACCCTAAGAGTGACTAGCATTTAATTTCTTCTTACAATATCACCACTGAATCACACATTAATGTCATGAGAATAATGGAAATGATCACCAACTAAAGAAACTCCTGATTGTTAGACAAATTCTCCTTGTCAGCACCTTGTAAATGTACAGAGAACAGTATGGAGAATATGAATGCTGATGTTAGGGTGTAAATGGTTAACAATCAAATTGATAAGTAAATAGAAAGACTCATTAACCTTTTACACTCTAACAAGGGTATCCACTTTCTCTGTTCTGTTCTTTATACATTCCCTATGGTGCTGACCTAGAGAATTTGTTCACCTATCAAGAGCTTGTCATTAAATCATTTCTTTTATTCTCCTGACCTTAATGTTTGACCCAGCAGTGATACTGTAAGAAGAATTTTTTCAATTACCTATACATTCCAAATTTCATGAGAAATCATTCAAATTACTTTCCTCGATGTCAGTTTTCTGCACTATTTGGGATTAACTGACATGCTCTTGGGCAAACTGAAATCTTCACTTGTTATCATAAAGAAAATTTTTTTAAAAGCACTCAGAAATACTTAGAAGACAGATGTCACCAGTCATTTTTTTATTTTTCAGAATCTTGGTTTTTCTCCTAACTACTGTGATATTTGTGGAAAAATAATTGAGCTAAAGGTAAGTTACCACTTTATTTGTTGGGATAGTGATTTATCTACCCTTTATAAAACTAGGCCCTGGAGACTGGTCATAAGCTTATGGCAGCTATTGTGTTACTGACAAGTTGCCATTTTACATTCCAGATAGTCTTGTCACAGTACTCAATAAATCATAAGGCTCAATTTATTTTTTGGTGTTGACTGTGGTTTTCAATTGCCATTTATTTTTTTAGCAAAATGGGACAAAGGCTCAAAATGTTTGGCAACGATAAAATTGTAATTTGACAAAAAAATTGAAAGCTTTCAAAATAATGGACAAAAACTAATAATTAGGGAAAGATGTTTTTCATCTTGTCACAAGAATGAGACAAAGAAGAATTCTGAGGAATTCATGGGGTCTCAGGATTTTTTCCCTATCCTAGGCTTGTGAAGTCTAAGTCGAGTTTTGATACAACTTCAAATTTTAATAGTGTTTAAAATATATACCAGAAAATTTGGAAGGGAAATCTAACACTCTATCAGAGGTCAGTCAAGTCCTCTCCACAGACATCATTTCAAGTTTTTAACTGTTTTTATACTTGCAACCATGTAGATCATCCAAGCACTGGGCAGGTCATATCACCCATCATGCTTTAGATGTTCTGTCTGTCAAACAGAATTAGATGGAATTCCCTTTACAGGGGATCAAGAAAATAGAATATATTGCATTCCTGATTATCACAGGTAACAACAGAGATTTCTTGTAAAGATAAATACCTCAAAGTTTCCAATAACTTGATGTCTTTAAAGAAAGTTGTTGAAAATTTTTCTTAAACATGAGAGAAATCCCTGTGAGGACTCAACATTAGTTATTACAAATTAAAAGTATAAAGGTTTTTGTTTTAATGAGTTGTTTGACCACAGATGTTCAAATTTTCTTTCTTTCTCTTTTGACAGAAAATTCTTACCAACCTGTGCAGTTTGCAAAAAACTAATTGCACCAACAAAGGTTAGTTACCAGGATGTATCAGCATAGGGTATTCAAATAAATTTACTGTTTAAATGAAGTTGTGTCCATAACTGTAGATCATTACTAGACTATTTTTCTTGTTGCAGGGATCAAAGGAGATCCTGAGAGTGGTTTCAATGGAGAAAGATTTTCACATTGATTGCTTTAGATGTGAGGTAATTCAGTAAGGAAGGAATTTAACGGTGTTGTGAAAGTTTTTGAGATTTCTGATTCATTTATAAAATATAAAGAGTTGCAATTAGATTTATCTTGTGGTCATCTACCCTAGGAAAAATTGAATGAAAAAAAAAAAAAAAAGATCCACTTTTGAAAGACCGTTACCTCAACCTCACTAATCCTAAGCAAAGCTACTTTTATGCACAAGTTTTATAATAATTTGCATTTAGAAGCACAACCCATAAACTCTCAAGATCTGATTGTTAATTCTCCCCTCTAGCAGCTACACATTTCCATTTAAATTAGTTAGGTGACAGTGGTGTTAGATCAAGATGACAACTTCTACCTTATAACTTTGAGTATTCTCATTACTTGTTTGTTGGATATTGTATGGATCTCATAGGGAGAATTTGCATGTTAATCACTTCTGGGGGTTAAAGAATTATGACGATTCTATAATTATCATGTTGTTAGTATGGCTTTTAAGTAATAGCTTTAATTTAGTTTTTTTGTGAAGGGCTGATGTGCAAAAAACAATCAGTGGTATAACAAATTTAATTATATTACCAGTGTATTAATTTATATCTTTTCAGGATTGTGGGATTCAGCTTTCAAATAAGAGACCATGCTATCCACAAGATGACCACATCCTCTGTCGAAAGTGCAATGGTAAAAGAACGCCAATTTCAAGATCACTGCAGGTCACCCCAGTTAATTCACCTTGTGACTCACCAAATGTAACACCTCGATGTCTACCACGTGGCAGACCACGTATTTTACGCAGCAAGCGAGAATAATATTGTAGTTAGATTATCCAATTATGGCATATTTATCCGGCATTTATTATTATGGTGTCACTTACACTGTATCACGATAAAGATCAGGCATTTACTATTTGGAAAGTGGCTAATGTTATCATGATATATTTGAAAGGAATAGGGTTTCTTTATTAAGGAGTTAAAAAAGGACTATCTATTAATATCACTTACTATTATTGAATATATAAATATAAGTTTTTGAAAAAATAAATAAACACATGCCTGGAGTAACAATGGGCTTTCAGTTCTGACTGATTGTTGTGTTAGATAAGGGTTGTTTGGTAAGAAATCTGCCTGGATGTTCCTAATTTTCTTTGTAAAAATTTTGTTTATAAAGTGAATGATTAGTCTATTATGATAATTAGACCTTGGGTTTTTATAATCAATAGTAATTTTTTTGTAATTGAGATTAACTATTGATTATTAAAAAATTTTTGTTTGTAGAGACTCAGTACACTTTGGCTTTCCCCTTTTTCTCTTAACCCCTTTAACCCAAATATCTCATTAGTAATTCTCCCTACTGTCTGCCAAACAATTCTTCTGATGTTAGTTCAGAGAATTTGGTATCAGATCAACGACCAGTAATAATCCCTTCACTGATATATTTCTTTATTCTCCTCACTTGTCTGCTTGATATTGTATTGATATTGTAAGGAGAAATTCTTTTGTGGTCATTCATGGGAGTTAAAGGGTTAAGACAATCTCTGTCATATGCTAGGCTGAATTGATTACTGAATGTGTTTGCTGCAATAACAAATTCTCAGTACTTGCTTACAAACAAATGTAAGCAAGGAGAATATATCTCCAGATCTTGAGATTGAAGGGTTGGTGTCAAGAACTGAATAAGAAGGAATCAAGAAAATGCTTGACAAGTTATTTTAATAAGAGCCAACAAGCTGTGCCTACAAGATTAATAAAGCATTCCTGTCAAGTATCAATTCTAAGCATGCACACAAGTTTAAACAAACATGAGAGGACATTTTTATGATGTTGTCATTTGATTGTAAATACCATTGTTCATTCCGGTTTCCTTTTAGATTTTAATTTAATTAACCAATTGAGGTTAAACAGATGATGACACTTTCACAGGAAAAGGAAGGATTCTGGTAATCATCAAATGACGCCATTGTGAAAATGTATTTTCTATAAAAATTAAGTTATTTTGATTGTCATAGGTTCCACAAATGATATTAAGTTGTAATAGAGTACAGATATCACAATTTTTTCACCCTTTACACCCTAACATCAGCATTCATATTCTCCATACTGTTCTCTGTACATTTCCTGAGTGCTGAAAAGGAGGATTGGTTTAACAATCAAGAGCTTCCTTAGTTGGTGATCATTTCCTTTGATTTCACTCCCTCGATGTGTAATTCAGGGGTGATATTGTGAGGAAAATTTAGATGCTAGTCACTCTGAGGAGTTGAAGAATCCAGTAATGTTTCAAAATCTAATAGACGTCAATTAATCTTTTCCCTATTACAATGTCACTGATGAACAAGTTTGCGCAACCATGTTAATTTCCAACATCACCTGGTTATTGGAACATTTTTAAACACAATTGGCTTGGGTCTGGTCTTGAAGATGATTTTCTTCCTTACTAGAGCACACACATCATAGTGTATTTCACCTTCCTTATTGTCTTCATCCTCATTGTTTGTTTTCTTGTAAAGCACAGCATATGGTTTGTCTAATTCAACAACCTTACCAGTGAGAAGATGGTGACCAATGATAAGCATGGGTGTTCCCTATAAGGTCAATGAGAGGATGTCATGAATCCTTTACTTCCCATCTCTACTCAAACAAGTGCTCCCCTCCTATAGCCAACCCACTGCTAATTTTTTTAAAATCCTTTTAACTCCAAAGATCTAATTATTAATTCTCCCATCTAACTGCTAGACATTTCCTTGTAAACAAGAATTTAGTGTTAGATCAAGACACTTCTACCTGATAAGTTTGATTATTCTCATAACCTGTTTGTTGGATAATGTATGCATATTATAGGGAGAGGTTACAAGTTAATCACTTCGGGACGTTAAAGGGTTAAATGTGACAGCTTCCTCAAAATGTGAGTTTGAATATTCCGTTATCACAGGTTTCTAAAACAGAAACAAATATATTCACTGAAGCTAATGATCTAAAGCGAGAATAATTTAATTGAAAAGGATGCAGAATTTCATGCAGTCACAAAAAAAGGTATTGAGAAGCCACGCAAATTTTGATGATTTCACGTTGTTGTTTTGCAGAATGCAGGTGCTGAGCTACTTTTCTGCTCATTGGATCTTTTATTTTGCCACATCCTCGTTGCCGTCGCCGTCATGTTTTGCTAAAGGTCCCTAATAAATGACCGTCCCCTTAGCTGTAGAGGGGAAATCAGTGCAATCATTTTACTACGCTTTCATCCACATAATGTATCGTTTACCCTTCCCAAAAAAAAAACCGAACAACACTTACTTTAAAATTCTTAGCAAACTTCCTTGGGCAAAAAAGAAAAGCTAAGTGCAGGATTGCAAGTCAAAACATAAAATAAAGGCCGTTGGTAAATTAATGCATGAACGAACGAACGAACATCACATCACGATCCACCGACCTTTCCATCGAAATGTAAGTCACCGATGGCTTTCCCTTCTAAACTGACTTCTTCTTTTGCCTCTAACGTTCCTTGAAGTTCGATTATCGTCCAGTTATCCACATCATGGGACCTGTATGAAGCATGTTCAGTCAGTTGCGGTTCAATGCAGACAAAAAGAATGCTCAATCGACAACTGTTTACAACATGAACTCCGACCATCGTTGCAAATACAAATTCGTTACTAAGAAAACCCTATGATCGACGGAGGAAATACACAGCTCTTACATAGATATCAATATTTGGACCATCCTTGGTCTATTTGTGGCACAATCTCGCACAAACGTTTCACTCTTATGGTCGTTCCAACATGGTAAACTTGGATATTCGAAAGGATTTCTGGAAGATGTACATTTCCCGCGAAAATTGGCGATGTAGCCTTATTTGAGTTACCGCTGACTAGGTCCTTGGTGACCTGCGGTAACGAATCAATTCCCAATCTTTGAAAGTTTTCTTGTTAAGAAAAAGAGAAAAACAATCTTCTTTTCCTCGGTAAAATTAATTCAGAGTATCTGATGATGCCAGGTTAACGTTTTCGTGGACAATTTCCAAAATAACTTCGCGCCAGTCGTTTACGATAAACATGTCGCCTTCGTAGAGTGGAGTTGATCCCCTTCTGATGAAAACCTTTCAGATTTGTTTCGAAGCAGAGTGCTCCACCGATTTAGTAATTAACTGGATAATGCTTAACAGTCACGAGGAAGAAGAGATCGTCTTGATGGACCATTCATTCGCGATGTGTTTGCAGTCATGTGTTTGCGGTCATTTAAAGGTGAAACCAAACCTTTTCGGAGGAGAATGCCGTGAACCTCGCCCAATTCTCCCTCCCCTACTAGTTAGCTCGCGAGTTCTTTTCAACCCCCTCCCCCTGCTTCTCCTCTTAAAAACTTCCTATCGAGGCCCCATTATACGGCTTATCCTTCTCAGACCTTTTTCTTATTAGTGACGTATCCTACTCTTACAACTTGATGGGAAAAAAAACCTATAATTCATGGGTAGACTTTCTGACTGCAAGCGTTTAATTTATGCGCTTTGATATCTAGGGTGTTTTCAAATGTACTAAGTAAATTAACCAAGATACGGAAAACTCTCCAATTCCAATTACTACAGCAGTATGGTACATTTTCCGACGAGTGCTTTGATTGATTGCACAGCGCAGCCACTTCCGCCTAGCACTAAAGAATGGGATTTTAAAAGAAATTCAAATAATCGAGGCAGGCGAACAACGAGATTATTCAAGTACCCGAAAAACATCGAAACAAATTTTTGTTTTTCACTGTTTTTTGATTATGCCCGACTATAAATATTCTACTAGTTCTTAATATCGATGAGTTGGGCGATTGTCCTAATCATTTATCGCCTGGCCGTAAACAGTCGAGATTAGATGAATCTATCGCCTATCTAGTGTCACGATGATTTCCTAACAGATAAAAACATTTCAGATCTATTTTGATAACACTAAGTGCAGTTGCAATATTTACTCAGTTCTTACGTCAAACGGTGCTAAAATCCATTCTAAGTGTATTTTAGATTCTTAAAGTTTTAAAAACAAAAGTCAATATTGCTATCAAAGTCAACGCACTAAGTTCTTGATGTTTTAAAAAAAAGTTCACGCTTTTATTTATTAGTTAGCAGGTTGAAACCTAACTATTACTTTGGAGTGGTTAGAAATAAGACAAAGCGCATGTTAACCTAACTGTTAGTGTGTTCTCACTTTTCGCATCACCTGCTCTAGCATTGTTAAAACAGCACAAACTGTTGTTATTGAAATCGCTAAATTGTAATCTGAAAATTTCATAGTTCGTCGAAAAACGCACTGTCGCAGCGTGTGGTTGACAAGTACTTAATACTACAAGCTTTGTTTGGAATTCAATTAAACAAACTTCGGTTGTTTACATGTAATACGGGTCGTTTGCCGATGTAATGCCGAAAAAGGAAAGCTTTCAGGGCCACATCAAAGGATGTGAGGACCACTTAAAAATCTTAAGGGAGATTTCATAGGGTCTAGAGCTTCAACCTACAAATCTGCTATTGTCAAGGTTTGAAACTCGAAACAGCTGTCCGCGAAGTGATAGTGCTTTACCATTGGTTTTCGATTACCTTCGAAATTAATTGACGTTCGTTGAACAACCAATCAAGCTTAACAATAACCTTGGCGCTTTTCCCTGGGTCGACGACAAATAGATAATTTCATATGTAAACTTTGTCAAGACGCTTTGACTGGAACATTTATTGTTTACATGGGCTGAAATAATCGGCCGGCAAGATTAGTGAGAAGGAACAAGGAGACCCGCGTGTGCACGCAGCGATTAGCAGCAGTCTTCATCTTATCGCCTGTATCTACTCATTTGTACACAAAATGAAAGTGTTTAAAACCACGCGTTGGATCAGATACATAAATCGGAGATGATTCATTCGCTGAAATGCGCGTAATTCAATTGGAAGACTTGGAAATCATAGAAAACTTTACATCAGAGGCGCAATCCCCGCGGCAACAGCGAACAAACTGTAATTAAGATTTCATGAAGAACACTTTTTTAGTCGAGCTTGCGGATGGACTAATATTTTTCGTTCACGCGTGAATCCCGTTGTCTGAGGAAACTATGAGACGTAAAAGGATTTCACCATGTGTGCGTTTCCCGAAAAGTTGCCATATATTGGTAGGATTTATTTGTTTTACCTTCTTCGTCCAGAATTCAACATCGCTTGAAACTGTTGAGATATTCGAGGGTTTGCCGCCCGGCAGTGCAGTTTTAAAGTTGAAACGAAAACCAGGCATCGTTTACTCTCTTCATCGAGATTCCTCCACCGCGGACGGATTAAGTTTGTTTTACATTGACTCAAATGGAGTACTTACTTCTAAAGTAACATTGGATTACGAAGACGAGCGCGGAAATGAATTCGATTTACTGGTAATTTCGCGGGAAATCTCAAAAGCAGAGGGTGGATTTGGAAGTATAGTACGCGTTCGAATACTCGATCGCAACGACAACCCACCCAAGTTTCCCAACGATTTGTACACTTGTTCCATGTTGGAAAATAGTGGCATTGGAACTTACGTTCAGGGTCTTGAGAATGTTTTTGCCAGTGACTTGGATAGCGGCAAAAACTCTGTGCGAAAGTACAGCATCGTGGGTGGAAACGAGGCGGGAAAGTTTGATGTTGATGTCAAGGAGCTCGATGGTGTGAAGTTTTTGCGTCTCAAAACGAAAGCGCCTATTGATAGAGAAGAAACCCCGTTCTTCGTGTTAACCGTCAAGGTGGAAGACGGAGGAATTCCTTCACTGTCAAGTGCTACTCAGATACGAGTCAACATCCTCGACGAAAATGATCAAACACCCACATTTGAACCACCGATTTATTCTGTTGCTGTCAGCGAAAATGTACCTGTTGGCACTTCTGTTACACAGGTGAAGGCTTTTGATGGCGACGTGGGAACAAACGCTGAAATTTATTATTACTTTAAACCCGAAGACGAGTTTTTCACTGTTAATGCTCATACGGGAGTTGTAGAAACAGCTTGCGAACTAAATTTCGAGAAAGGAAATTCATTTGATCTCACAGTGTATGCGGTAGATCGAGGCAAAACTCCTCGCCAAGCAGAAACTATTGTACGAATTCGCCTAGTCGATATAGAAAGCTACCCTCCTTTGCTTGGAGCTAATTCTGCTGAATCGGCACCGCCTGTCTTTCAAAAACAGACACATTTCGTGAGAATAAGAGAGGATTTTCCGGTTGGTGGTGCAGTAGTCCGTGTGAATGCCCATCAGGGAAGCCATCCACGGCGCTATGAGAGAGCGTGGCGGTATATTATTGTTAACAATCCTGCTTCTATGTTCCACATTAATCCTCGAAGCGGGGTCATTACTCTTCGTGAACCTTTAGCATTTAAAAATCAAACTTCTTTTTCGCTTGTTGTTGAAGCACAAGATGAACAGTCCAAAGATTTGTATAAATCACACGCCCGAGTTGAGATAGTAATAGAAGACGTTAATGAGAATTATTTCGCGCCAATTTTCTCTCGTTCAATTGCGGTGGTATCAATCTCAGAGAATTCAGAAAAAAATACCGTCGTTTCAGCGCTTTCAGCTTCTGACGCTGATGATGGTAGCAATGGGGAAATTGTATACAGTGTAGTGGGAGGCTCAGGACTGGGTAAATTTAACATTGACGAAAACACTGGACAAGTACGATCGATCGTTCGTTTCAACCATGAAATGGATTCACAGTTTGACTTGTACGTGCGGGCAAGCGACCGCTCAAAACAACCGCTTCATTCGAAAGCATACTTATTTATTAGATTACAGAATGGAGGAAAGAAAAGGCCTTTCTTCCACAGTCCACGACAGCTTGTCAGTGTTCGCGAAAACAGCGCAAAGGGGACTTTTGTAGCTCTGGTGAGAGCTAAACTTCGAACGCGGAGATTGAACGATAAAAGACTATTGGAGTATTTTATTTCTAGCGGAAATGAGGGCGGCAAGTTTTCCTTGAATTCCACTTCAGGTAGGAGTGCATCTTTGTTTTAATTAAACGTCGCTGTGAAACTACAAACAAAGTCTGGAGAAAGTTTGAAGTCTTCATTCGTTTGTGTTTTCTACTCTATGCAATCAAGCCATGATAGCTACCAAAGTTTCTCAAAGCTTATTAGGTGTTCGATGGATAAAAAATGCATGCAGTTTAAAACGAACCTTGTATTGTAAACCGTAAATAGAATTTTTATACATTATTCACACTCCAGAAAGCGCAATTTACGTCTCTTCATCACCTGCACTTAATAACTTAGAAAGGAATTAATCATTGAAAGGAGACATATCTTCGCTAGATGCCGCCAGGCGAAAAAAATAATGTTTGTGGTTTATTCTTTTTGTAAAAATTAAAGTTCAGTTTTGATTGCGTCCTCAGCGATCAATCATTCTAGCCCCTGCTTGAAAACACAGTAAACGCGAGGAAAAAATAATAATCTTTTAGAATTGTAGAACAATAACGTTCTTGCTTGGCAAGATGTTGAGTCTCAAGATAAACGTTTTATTTTGAAATCGCGAACAGACAGGTGGAGAATGACAGGTTGAATAACATTTTATTTCGAAAGCGTTTTTTTTTTTCGCTGATTTATTATTTAAAACTCGGCTTGTTATCCCAAAGTATTGAGAGCAAAGCCGTAAAGAGCTAAAAAATGCAAACTCGTGTTGGAAGATCTAGAAGATCAAGTTCGAATCTGAAAGCTATTAATTAAATATCTTATTAAACTGGGCTATTGCTGATAAAGTTGGTTGGAATTTGTGGGTAATGAATGATTTTGGAATGATTTTTGTGCCAATTCGATCCTCTTTATATGCAATATTGTTATTCAGAGAATATTACAAGAATTCAACGTTGCTGTCAACTTTAGATGTTTTTTCAAAAGGTTTGATTATTAAAAGAAACACCCCTTTTCCATTTCCTTTTATTAAGGTCTTTCAGCCATTATTTAATTATGGAGATGAGAGAGATAACTGAGGTCCACTCTGTTGGATTGGCTGACTTTGAAGTCTGGCACGCTTTTGTAAATAATTTGACTCTGGAAAAAAATTTAAGCAACATTTAATATTTGCAATGTCTATGCAATAGAAAATGCTCAGGAATGGACATAAACCTGTACATTTACAAGAAGGAAAATGAACATGATTATTTGAGAAAAATTTTTTTCCAATGATATTCCAGAACATGCAGCCGTTTATTCGTAAATGATATTGCCAAAGGAAAGAAAAATGTTCATAAAACATTTACATGAAAACTAATTACTTCAAAATTTGCCATATTGCTGTGACCACATCTTAAAGAATTATTTCAATCTTAAATATGATTTCCCTTAAAAGGGTACAGTCAGTTGTATTGGTCTCACCGATGTTGTTGTACTAATTTTTGGCAATAAATGCCAAAAATTTTATTACTAGTAATTAAAACTGTGAGATAAATTCTCAATTGGTAGTCTTAGACTTTTTTTTTTTTTTTTTTTTTTTTCAAACAAATTTGGAAAAACAATTTTCAGAAGCTGCTATACTTTGGCTTTAATTTTCATAATTACTCTTTTCTGTCTCAAGATGTAATTGATGGTTTTGGGTGAGAAGGTCAGTAACTTTATATTTTTTGCGGAGTTTTATTCTTAGGAATTATCATTTTATCAACAGAAAATGCAGATTTTAATGAAATTGTTTTGATAGTTGAAAAAAACATGGACAGCTATTCAATGTTGTGCAGATCACATCAAACAATTTTCTAATTTAGGATTTTTTTTCCTTTTATTACCTGAGGTAAATTGTTGATATTTGAGTCAACTCAAGCTGCAATATATTCTGTGTGTATGTAATGTAATTTCTCACAAGTATCATATACCATTGAGCACCGCCGACCATATAGCACACTAATTAGTCTTAGAGGGGGGGCTTATTGTCTCCAGGACCTCTTAACAGGATGGGGGTGAAAAAGTGCTTACTATGATAAACCATGTGTAATAAGTATAAAAGGGAATTTAGTTATTCCAGGACTTTTAGAAAGTGACAAAGTGGGAGAGAGGTGGAGAGTGTTTCCTGTTGTGAACATTGTGATGAGTCTTCCTGGCTTTGTATTGATTTCCAGGACTTCTAGCTTCTAGTCAGTGATGAAATCATTGCATTGGGGGTGGGGGTATCACAGTAAACATCTTGGTTTTCAGGAATTCTAAATAGTATGGGGAGGAGAGAGTAAAAAAAACGCATTTGCCATTTTAGAATCTTTGCTGGAAAATCGGCTTATTTTCATTTCTTGCTTAACTTTTGAGAGCTTAAGTATGAAGTCTATGGCAAAGTGGGAAATATTGTGTATATTTTGCTGTAAGCTGCTTTTGGAAAAGTTTTTTTGCACTCTCTCAAGGTAGAATATTAGAAAAGTTTTTTTGCACTCTCTCAAGGTAGAATATTAGAAAAGTTGCTCTGAAAGCTCCAATCTTGGGTGGCTTGTTTTAAATCGTAGATGTAGGATAGAATCCATATTTCACAAAGTTCTGCCATTCAATATAAATGTCTTCCTCAAACACTACTTATCACATCTTTTATTGAAATTGTTTATCTGTAGGGGTAATTTCAACTGCTGACCACCTTGATCGTGAAAGTAAAGATCTGTATATACTTAATATTTATGCCCATATTAAGGGTGCTCCATTATCAATGAGCTCACCCCTCCAAGTTGTTGTCACAGTTTCTGATGAGAATGATAACAGCCCATCATTTGAAAAACACAAGTACAAGGTAAGAACTTAAACTTTTATATACCCTATGTGACCAAGACAGAATATCTCCTTACAATATCAATACAATATCTAGCAGAAAAGTGACAAGAATAAAGAAAAATATCAATTAGAGGTTTGTTTGTTGATCAAACAAAAAATTTGCCAAACTAAAATTGTAAGGATTGGATGGCAGACAGTAAGGAGAAATACTACCAGGATCTAGGAGTGAAAGGGTGAAATGATAATCAGCCACTGATGAGCAGTGTTCTCCTTTTCAGGAAGTAATTGGTATAATTTACTACCTGTTAGACAGGTGTATTTCTTATTACAGTTTTAAATCACTTGGAATTCTTGAAAATTCAATAGGTGGAATAATTGTTTTACTTGTTTGAAAAGTTATTTTGCCTGTGAAATTCAACATGAGCAAGAACACAAGATGAGGCAATAATAATGTAGCAAAACCGCAGTGAATAAATGAAATGGTGATTAAGACAAGCAACATAGTTCCCCAAACATGCCTTCTATGTATATCTCTATCTGGTGAATTTTTTTTTTCTGAGATTTAGACTTGTGACCTTAAACTAATAGCTGTCTGGATATTCATGTACAAAAGGCTAATTTTCTTTTTCTTGTTGTAGGTTTTTGTTACAGAAAACATTGGTAATATATCAAATTTGCTATGTCTAGCAGCCCATGATCTTGACACTGGTGAGAATGGACATATCACATACTCTATAATCTCTGGTAAGGGGCCATTTGCCATCAACCCTGTCCTGGGCGTGTTATCAGTCAAAAGATCTCTAGATTATGAGAAGCAGTCAGTGCATAGACTTGTTATACAAGCAGAAGACAATGGTGTGCCATCCCGCAAGACAACAGTGGACGTTACCATTGTTGTGGAAGATGCTAACGATGCACCTGTTTTTTCTCAGGATCATTATGAAGGTACATAGCATGGACTAATATTGTTATAGGTGGATTAATCAGGCATGCTTTAATTATCATCATCATAAATTCTCCTATGTAAATTATTTTGTAATCCATCAAGCATTCTTAACCTTGGTCTATATTAAATCACTTCTTTGAGAGGTGAATCCAAGTCTTGCCCAGATTGAGCTTGTGATATGGATGTTCTCTGCTTTTTTGGTGTGGTAGCCCCTAACCCTCCCACCCCCCACAATTGAAGATGGTGACACTCCTTTTTGTGATGTGGATTTTACATTGTTCCATTGTTCAGAGCAGTTTTAGGGCAAAAAATTGTCATTTGGTTGGGGAAATTCTATGTTTGTCAGGGAAAGTCAGGGGATTTCAAAATCTTATGACTGTGGCAACCATGACATCTGCAAGAAGATATTAATATTTTATATCACACTTAATGCATGAATCCATGATGTAACTTAAGCACTGTATGAATGATTACCATATTTTGTTATATTTTGAAATACTTTAAAAGTGATATTAGGATCTCAAAGTGATTTCTGCAAGTCAATTTTAGTGAGAGCTGCTTCCATCCTTTTCCCTTTCTTGTTCAAACTCAAGTCAGGAAGTGTGGTGTGATGTTCAACCTCTGTGATCTTTTTATTCCTTAACTTAAGTGGAATATGGTTGGTTTTTTCTTCCTGATCTCTTTCCTCTTTGTTTCTGCAAGAAAAGAGGAGAAAAAGGCAGTTTAAATGTGATGAACCTTAAACCTTCCTGCTATCCTCTTGTAATAACATTTCTATCAGCCACTAAAATTATGAAGTTATTTCAAGCTACTTGAAGCAATGTTCATGCTGTATAACATAGTCAAATACATTAACCTGTTTTAATTGTCGCTAAACTGTGAAGAATTATATATGTGAACTAACATTTCTTGTTGATATTGTAGACCAATTTCTAATTCTTATAATCAGTTTCATTTTCTGAAATTGTTTTCTTTAATCTACTGGTAATTACATGTGCATAAACTTTATCTATGTGTACTTAATTTTATATCATTCATAATAACGGACTTAACTGTGCTAATATAATCTTATTTTGTTCTACATATAACTGTTTGCATTTGTCTCAAAACACATTTGCTGGTAAAATAACTCATGATTGCTCCTCTGTAATTCAGTAACAGTCCTGGAATCTGCCAAAATTGGAACCGATCTTCTGGCTGTGTTTCTTGTATCTGATGAAGATGCCGCTGTTAAGGGTAACACGAGCCGTCTGTTGTATGTTTTTTTCTCTTGGAACTTTTTTTCTTTCTAAATCATTTTCTTTAGCTGAAACTCGTTGACTCAAACAGAACCACATGTTTGAACGGACGTGGAGATATTGCGCTTGTAACACTTACCTTACAGTACTATGTCAACCTCTTTGACTAATGACTTGGTTTTTGGTGACCTTGACTAATTCCAAAAGACTGTAAGACAAGATTTGATCCAAAAAAAAAATTTGATTCTGATCAATTGTAAGTGGTTGGTTTTGGAGCGGAGGTACTGGAACTTCAGCCCTCAGAACATAACACTCTTGAAAGGGATCTTTTAACAAGTCTGGTTTACCTGCGATTTTTAAAATTGAGAGTTATTTTTAAGAACTTGGTCATAAATGCACTCAGTGGTGTATTTGTTTTGAAGTCTGACAATTGTTCCTTAGGTTGCAGCTAGGATTGGGATTCAGTTAGAAACGGTGGTAGAAATAAGCACAACTCTAAGTGCACTGGGTGCGAGTCATGTGACTTTCTTGTCCTCTGGAGAGAGACTACAAACATTTTGTGTGAAGTCTCAATGAAATTCTCATTGGCAATGTGGTGTGTGGACATTTCATGGCGTTTTGAATCTTTGTCAAGGACTCCTGTATTTGTGTAACACACTCTTGTTTTCTTGTGGAAGTCTGGTTGCTGGTGTGATGACTCCGTGTTTATTGGGGAATCTTGAAATTTCTTTTATATCTTTTTGAAGTTAAGCTCTTCAGAAGCAACAAAGACGTGACTATCATGAACTAACTAATCATATGCTCCCTTTTCGACTAATAAAGAACAGTTATATGTCACGTGGTTCCAGTTGGCGCCAAGTGCGTTATTTTCCCGCGTTTTTTACTTGTATCCCCTACTCTTCCCCTAAGTCGCCCTGAATGTGATACCCTGACGTAAACTGAGAAATTTTACGGCTGAAAAGTACGGACATGTGTTTTTTGTAGTGTAACAAGGTTTTAGTGACCGTACGGTACTCGAATGGCTTTCACAACAACTGCAGTAACAATTTATTAAACATTAAAAAGGCACTAAAGTGTATGGATTGCAAGACAGGTAAAAACAGGCAACAGTACATTACTGAATTATAATTTACAACCGAAGAAATAGTATGATTTGTCAAAAAAAGTGCTTTTCGAATGAGTGTCGTAAATCCAAATCCAAAGTAATCACGAGCGCCAATCAGAAGAAAGAAAAAACTCCTTAAAGAACCAATTAGAAATCCAAGTAAAAACAAGCAAACTGCCCAAAGCGCGGGAAAACGCGGGCGACCAAGTCGTGATTGGTTTTTGTTTTGCACCTGATTGGTCGAGAGAAAGGCGCGAGTTTTCTGGACCAATCACATTGCGAAGTGAAGCAAAAAAGAAAAATAATCCCTGATTACTTTCGACACTCATTTGAAAGTTACTCAATTTGAACTGTACAGTGTGTTATGTGCTGGTGGAGAATTGAAATTGCAGAAAAAGATAGAAGGTGAAAGTCCATATATCTAATTAGATGAATACAGGCTTGTCAATCACTCTGAATGTTCTATTTTAGCTTTTCTCACAGTAGGATAAACTGTGCGTTGAAGTATCAAATTTCGGTTAACGTGATTGACAGATTTTATGTTGCCAGTGATAATCAAGTTTATCGCTTTACCAATAGTTGTTTGAGCTTTTAATTTTCAAAGAACGAAATTAGTTTATGACGGTTTTGATGAATGATAAATGAAATTAAATCGGTGTTAAGGAAACATGTAATCCCATTTTGAAAGAGTTTTGTCGATGCCAAAAGTCAAAAATGCTAAGAACACTCAGTGTTTCTTTGGTGTTAAAAATCTCTACGAAGTTGTATTTGAGAAGCTCTTTCAATTATCCACCAGCATTGGTTATTTTGTTTTCAAAGTTACCTTTATACTCATTGTTGTATATTCTCGCTTTCTTTTCCAGTGACCATATTAGAAAACACCGATGTCGAAGATACTGTGGCTGTGCTAACCACTTCTGATCAGGACCGAGACAAGAATGGAAAATTCACTTGCAGCATGGAAAACATGGACTTGGAGACCATGGACACTTTTCAAGTGAGAAGAACGCCTGAAGGCTGTGCCCTGGTTCTAACTGGTTACTTGGACTGGTACCGTGCGAATACGTATTCCTTCTCGGTCCGCGCCACTGACAGTGCTGAGAGCGCGCAAAGGAAGTCAGTCACTGCTAATGTCACCATTCGCGTACAAGACACAAACAACCACGACCCGGAGTTTTTGCAGGCGTCTTATTGGGTTGCTTTACCTAACGACGCCAACATGGGTGCAACTGTACTGACAGTCAAAGCGCGCGACCTGGATGAGGGTGAAAACGCTGATATACGATACATACTTACCAATGACGTCTTCAGTATTCATCCAACCAAAGGTATCATCACCCTTAAGCAAGGGTTGGGATCTGTCACCAGCAAGAAATATGAATTTTCAGTCAGAGCAACCGACCAGGGAACGCCTAACAGACAGACTGCTGTGAGTGTTTCTGTGACCGTTCACCCCCTGTCTTACATCCCTCCAAAATTTCTGAGGTCTGAGTATCGCAAAGTAATCCCTGAGACTTTCAAAACAGGTGCCGCGCTGCTGACGGTGCGTGCGCAGAAGAGTCTGGGTTTTGGTAGGCCTGTCAAGTACTTCATTGTAGGGGGTGATCCACTAAATCAGTTCAGTGTGGGAACTCGGAGTGGCGTTCTCACCCTCAAAAAACAGTTGGATTACGAAAGAATTAATCACTACATGTTGGTTGTACGCGCTGTGCATAATGGACTATCACCTTCATTGCCAACCGAGGTAAGTGTAGACAGTGAAAATGCTCCCTTGTGAACTGACGACAAGACTGGAGTCCTACAGCCAATAACGTAACGAGACTGGAGTCCTACAGCCAATAACGTAACGCCCAAACAGACCAAGAAATTTTTAACGTGCTATACTTACAATATTTGACCGACCAATAGTTCCTTACCAGACTCTGATGATACCTTGTGTTCAGGTTGTTGAAACGTCAGGCACTACTATAGACATCAGTCCTTTTTAGGACAACCCCTAACCAGCTTCTCACATCACACAACCGGGGAAATATTCTCCGTCCGAAAAGAGGCGTTTTATTTATCATCGTCGACTTCAAATCGGTAATCAACTTGAGGATTAGGGATTGCCCCGACATCACATACCCGTAACTTTTTCCTTTATTTGAATCTAGCGCGCGCTGTTGTGTGCGCAATAAAATTTTCTCCATTATCTTTACAGGTTAAAGTTTTTGTAAATGTCACAGACGTGAACGACAAGTCCCCACGGTTTGCTCTTCCAGTGGATCCGTTTGTGATAACTGTGGATGAATTTCAACCCCCAGGAACTCTCATTGCCGTTTTGAAAGCATATGACAGAGACACAGGCAATAATTCCCTTATCACCTATAGACTGGAAGATGCTAACTTTAAAATTCACTCATACCTTGGAACTCTATCGACCAAGCTTGAATTATATCATTCTCAAGGAACCTCACGATCTTTCGTTGTCACGGCAACCGACTCAACACCCCCATACCGAAGTGCTAAAGCCAATGTGGTGGTCATGATAAACAAGGCCGCCCCTCCCCCAAGGTATCCCAATTCGGAGTTGGCCGAATACGTGCAAGAAGACACAGACGTTGGTAAGTCCCTAGTGCAGTTGCGTTCCCTCGAAGAGGGTCGTTTCACCTTAAAGTACTGGGTAACAGACGGTAACCAAGATAACCAATGGTGTGTAGACACGACTGGTCATATACGAGTCAATAAACCGCTGGACCATGAACAGAAGAAATCCTTTCACCTTAAAATCAAGGTGGATGATGGCATAACGACTCATATCGCACCGTCCGTCTTGTTTACGGTGGAAGATGTGAACGACAACGTTCCTACGTTTAGCGCAAACACATACAAGTTCTACGTGTCCGAAAATTCACCTGCCTTCCACACAGTCGCTAAAGTGTATGCAAAAGATCGCGATGAAGGCTCCAACAGCGAGATAAAGTATTCAATAGTTGGAGTAGAGGATACTCGTTCCATTGGAAAATTTGAAATCGATCCAACATCCGGTCACTTGAAAACAACTGGGGTGCTAGACAGAGAGTTTATGGAGCAGCATGTGATCATGGTGGAAGCAGAGGATGCTGGGAAACCTTCGCTGAGTAGCCTGGCACGCCTTACTGTAATTGTTAAAGATGAGAATGATAACAGTCCAGTGTTTGCCACAGACTTGTTTAGGGCTTCGGTACCTGTTGATGCCAAGGTTGGGTCCAGGATTTTTTCAGTGATAGCGTCAGACATGGACTGGGGAGAGAATAGGCTTTTGAGGTGAGCTAAATCAACTGAGTTGAAAACGTAAATTGTCCACCGTGAGAGTTTAAAGGCTGACGTTTCGAGCGTTAGCCCTTCGTCAGAGAAATTGACGAAGGGCTAACGCTCGAAACGTCAGCCTTTAAACTCTTTACGGTGGCTAATTTACGTTTTCAACTCGGTTGATAACACTAAATTACCCTCCTATACTCTCCCACCGACGCACCACCACAGTTTCTTAAGAAACTTGCCCCTTTAAAATAAATGCACCCTCTGCATCGGTTATACTTATAAAACTCATGTTCACTTTCGCGGGGACTCATAGCATTAGTAACTCACACCTTTATTTCTCCCTCACTTGTGCCTTTTATTCTTTCCTTCATCTCTCTTTTTTTTTTTACACCTTACTCTATACTTCTCTTTTTCCCTCTCCATTTATCGTTTTTTTCACCTCACATTCTACTATTTAGTTTTACTTCCTATATCAACACCCATCCACAGACTGTGACTAGCTTGGTGAAATAGATTCAAACAATGTCTAATTCTTTTTGCTTACAGTTACTCAGTAATTGCCGGTAACTCTGAGCAGTTCATCGCTGTCGACCCAATTGATGGAACTGTCACTGTGGCCCGTCTTTTTACGTCGCTGAAGGCAATCAATTTTACAGTCATGGCACGCGATCAGGGTCAGCCTACCAGAAACGCTACTGCCGACGTAATTGTTACCATTCACGCCATTGAGGGCCCTCCAAGATTTCTGGCTTCAGCTTATGACGCGCGTGTTGCAGAAAACAAAAAAGCGGGAACTAAGGTCATTCGTGTGCAAGCAGCAAGTGTCGATCCTGTTATTTCGTATAAAATATTGAATGGAAACTCTAGAAAACATTTTCATCTGAATGTAGAAACGGGATTGCTAACTACAACTAGATCCCTTGATTACGAAAAATTTACGCGTTACCAGCTTGTTGTCATGGCAATAGACAGTAGCAATCGAATGAATTACGTCAAAGTTGTTGTACACGTGATTAACGTCAATGATAATGAACCTTACTTCGTGGATATACACAGCGGTATTATTGAAGGACAGGTGTTAGCTGACGCCATCGTCAACAGTCACGTGATGTGGCTTAAGGCACGCGACCGAGATGTTAGTGACGTCATTAGCTACAAGATACACAACGAGAAAGCGGCTTTGTATTTTACTGTCGACTCTGAAGGAAGCTTAAGGACCAGGAGAGCACTACAAGAACTTCAGTCACCGTTCGTTTTCAAAATTGAAGCTTTGGATAATGGGATTCCTTCTAGGAGTACTTTTACGTCGGTGAGACTTGTTTTCTTGAGGTATCATACTCAACAGAGAGAGCTGCAGGTGCTTGTCCCTGAAGACGTTAAGCAAGACGTCGTGCTCATTAAAATAATAGATTCAGCAAAAATTGTAAATCCGAGCTTTTCGATCATTTACCCTGTCGGAGCACCTTTTCGTATAGACAGTGAAAGTGGGGAGGTGCGAACCTCCCGTCCTCTAGATTATGAGACTACACAGAATTACAGCTTAATACTGCAAGTGCAAGACTCCAAAAATGGCAAAGAATACAGCAATATAGACTTAGTGGTTGAAATTGAAGACGTAAATGATAACTCCCCCAGCTTTACTATGGAGAAGGAGGACGGGATATACATCGCTAAGATCAATAGAAATCCTGTCCAGGGTACGGTGTTGTACACGCTTACAGCTTCAGATCGAGATTCTAGAGGCCATTTGCGTTACTCGCTGGTCAGCAGTAGTGGCGAAAACGCTGTGTTTGAGGTGGAGGCCGAGAGTGGGAGAGTGAAGACAGTCACTCAACAGGTGTTAATGGCCGACTTTTACAACATCACTGTGATGGTGAGTGACAGTGACACGCCTTCTCGTCACACTCAGGCCATACTGCATGTGCAAGTTGGAGAATACTTGCCCACCTTCAGTCGGGAAGAGTACGTGTTTAGAGTCAAGGAGAACACGCGGAAAGGATTCACCATCGGCCGCATTAAGGCGCACAGCTACTCTGGAGCGTCTCTTTCATACACTGTAGTGCACGGTGAGAATAACGAATCTTAGATCCCAAATGCTGATAGTTAAATAAAGTATTTTTGCAATTTTGGTACACTGTTATGCAGATAGGTGATGAGAATGAAGAAATGTCATGTAAGAGTGATTTTCCTCAAGCAAATTGTCTGGAATAGCTAACAGGAAAATTTAAGTTCCCAGTGTGGAAGATAACCCTGCGCATCCTAGAGGTGAAAGCCAAGAGAGTATCAAAATAACTCCAAACTGATGTAATGTCATCTGCCTTCGCTTGTAAAATACTTTAGATTCAGTACTGTAAACGGTAAACTGGCATGCTCACACTGTAACACAAAAACCATTAAGGAATCATCTGCAAAAAGTGCGCATTCCCTAAGGCAAGAACATGGTGGATGTTCAAAAATCGGTCTGTTCTTTAAATGTGTCTACTGTAATTCTGAGTATAATTTGAGGTTGTATTTTGTGTTCTTTTAGGAAACGTTCATAAAAAATTTATCCTGGACAGCAACACAGGGCGTCTAGCTCTCCCCAATCCTCTGGACTATGAACGTGACTCCAATGTTTACTACATCAGGATAAGAGCGGTCGAGGTTGGTGTTACTCAGCGCCAGTCCTCCGAAGTCAACGTCCAAGTCCTCCTCAAAGATATGAATGACAATGCTCCTGAATTCTCTCAACAACGCTACAGATACATTTTACCAGAAAGTGCTCCTGTGGGGACAATGGTGTTGGTTGTTTCAGCCCGTGACAGCGATTCAGGGGTAAACGGACAGTTTAGATATTACATGAATAGTAGATACTTTTCTGTAAATCCTTACACTGGGGAGATCACCACAACAAAACCGCTGGATTATGAGACCGCGCGCTCACACACCTTTGATGTAATGGCGCAAGATGGCGGGAAACAGGTGCTTCACGGGACGGCGCGAGTGGAAGTGACGTTAAAAAATGTAAACGACAATCCACCTCGGTTCTCACAGACGGTTTATAATTCACACGTGAATGAGGATGCTGGCCCGGGTGAACTGGTGACGACAGGTGAGTCGCTCTGTCAAACATTGAAATAACGGTTGATATAATTGTCAAAATTTAGTTATGTGCAGAGTTTTTAATTTTTGTAAAAGCAACTTTGGGTGGTGCCGTGTTATTCCGAATAATGAACGTCTGGTTTGTCTCTAAAGATGATGAATATGAGTTTATTTTATACATACTGAGATTTCCACATGAAAAAAAGCCCGCTTAAAATTCCTACGGAATACACAACCAACCCAATCAGAAAAGCGTACGAATGTGAAAATACATCGTTCGTCCAATCAGAGACACGAACAATAGTACTTCACAGAGAAGGGCAACTAGCGCACGACTTTCTGTTTAAACAAAATGGAAGAAGAAGTGCTAAGATTTGCTTTCCATAAAGGAACTATGAATGACTTCATATGAGCAAGAAAAAAAAAACACGTGAGCAAAGACCGACAGAGACGTGAGCCTGCTAAAGACCTCTCTTCAAAGAAAGCTAGATCTCAGAAACGTTGAAGAAATACCTCCTGCTCAACATAATAAATTGCTGAGCTAGTTTGTACTCACTGTCAGAACCCATTTTCGATGGAAGTGACTGCGAGAAGTATTTTATACAAACTATTTTGTAAAGAATACCATATTTTGATTTACGTTACATTTTTTAAATGAGGTTTTCGCATTGGTTATTTTTAAAACCGACGTTGTCCCATTTACCTTGCAAGTTTTCATACCTCGTAATTTTAAGATTCTGCAAATTCGCAAAGCCATCTATAGATTGAATTTTAAAATCACTAGTTATCTTTATGTCTCTTTAAAAGTCTCTTTGTAAGCGAATTAGTTTGTAAACAAATGACAAAATTTAAAAAATCATGAATAAAAATCATGCGTGCGTACTGTCCATGGAATAATCTCTATTTAAGCCTAAATGCCATTTTTGCTTCCAAAATAGGGGATGGGTGAGTTTGTCAGGGAGGACCAGAGTAGTTTAGTAACAAAGCAATTACAGTCTTGTTCACTTTTCTTTCTAGTTCAAGCAAGTGACCTTGATCTCGATCCAGTCTCCTACAGTATCATCTCAGGTGATGATAACAGCAATTTTGTGATAGACAACCGGACGGGTGTCGTGCGATTGGTTTCACACAGGGCACCAAGCCTTGTAGGTCCGTACTACGAGCTGAACATAAGTGCCTCAGATGGCCTTCACACAAGCCAAGCCGTGTTGATAGTGGCTATTCAGGATATCAATAATCACAAACCAGTGTTCAAAGACTGCGACAAGTACAAACCGGTTATCTCAGAAAACGTTCGTCCTGGATCCTCAGTTATTCAGGTTTGATGAGTATTGACTCGTAATTTCAGCCCTCCCCCCTCCCCCCACTTCTAAAATATATATTATACAAGAGTCCCTTACAGCACTGATTTTGATTTTTCGGTGGATAACCCTGGGAACATTAATAAGATGAAAAACACCTAGATGGGAGGAGGATAGGAAAATATGTCTGGTTTGCAATGGTTTTAATGTTTTTTTAATAGTATTTTCATTATTGCTTGTTTATTTCTGGTGAATTTTAGGTCAGTGCTGAAGATAGAGACATGGGTCAGAACGGAGAAGTTAGTTATCACATTGAGCGGCCTTCTACCGGGATAACCTACTTTGAAATAAATAGTGCTTCCGGTCTGGTAACAACTGCCGTGACCTTTGACCGTGAAAAGAAGCGATCCTACCAGATAAGGATCACGGGAAAGGACGGAGGACCTGGCCAAGAAGAAGGAGAGAGGCTGATGGGATTCTGTCAACTGGAAATTAGAATCGACGACGTCAATGACAACGATCCAGTTTTTAGTAGCAAAACATTCATAACCAATGTAAAGGAGGACCTTAAAAAAGGGCATATAGTACTTCATGTAACCGCTACCGATAAGGACGCCGGTAGTAATTCGCTTATAACGTACTCTCTTGAAAAACCAAACAAGCAGTTTCTGATATCCAACAGCACGGGAATTATAACCACTAAAGGTCCATTGACCTCGACAAAGTACAACTTCAAAGTGATTGCCCAAGATAATGGAAACCCGCGGCGGTCTTCTAAAGCAGATGTAGAAATCAGTGTTTACAAAGCTGGGAAGGACCCGCCAAAGTTCACAGAAGATGTGTACATCGCGCGTGTTCGCGAGGATGTGCGGCAAGGGTATAGAGTTACGCGCGTGTCGGCCACAAGCCCAAATCAGATTTATTACAGTATTGTGAATTATCCACAGCCGGTTAATATCGACCCGGTTCAAGGAATAATAACGACTCAGCGCATCCTTGATTACGAATTAGCGTCAAATTACACAATACACATTCTTGCTCAAGATAATCAAGATCCACCGCTTATGTCGTTCGCTCGGCTTGAAATTCTCGTGGAAGACGTCAATGATTCACCCCCTCAGTTTCCGGTGTCAAAATATGAAGGACAAGTTGCTGAGAATTCACGGATCGGTAGCTCTGTCATCGAAGTGAAAGCCGATGACCCGGATAAGGGTGAAAATGGAATGGTTTCTTACACTTTCATCACAGAAGAAAGCTATAAGTCATTTGAGCTAAACTCTAAGAGGGGGCTCATTACCACCAAAAAGGTATTTGACCGTGAGGAGACTGGACGCTACACCTTGATAGTAGAAGCACGTGACCATGGAGATCCTCCCAAAGCGTCAAGTTGTATTGTGGATGTCATAATCAGCGATCAGAACGATAACCGTCCTGTGTTTGAGCAGACTGTGTACAATGCGAGTGTTCACGAAGATGCTTCCAGGGGAACAAACATTCTTGAAGTATCTGCAGTGGATGACGATATTGGAAACAATGCTGTGGTGAACTATTTCATCACGGCAGGAAATACCCGAGCGGCGTTTGCCATTAACAAGGATCTTGGACAAATTGTGGTGGCGAGTTCGTTAGATCGCGAGACACAAGATTATTACCAGTTGAAGATTAGGGCACTTGACGGGAAAAACTCTGGTACGGCTGTGGTCAACATACACGTCAAAGATGCCAATGATAACACCCCCGTGTTCACCAACACCACGTATGTAGCTAAAGTTTACGAAAACCAGCCTGCCGGGAGTTACGTCACGACGTTGTCGGCGTCTGATAAGGATCTTGGACTGGGCGGAGCGTTCTTGTTTTCGATCAGCGGTCAGGGTAAGGACGCTTTTGATATCAACCCGAATACAGGTATCGTAACGACTATCAAACCTCTAGACCGAGAAGCTAAAGGGCGCTACGACTTCCTTGCGTTTGCCACTGACAATCCTAATGCAGAACCAGGCTCTCGGAGGACCGGCTCCTGCGATGTGGTGGTTTGGATCCGGGACGTAAATGACAAAAGGCCGCATTTCCCGGATGATGTATATGAGGGCACTGTGAAAGAGAACCAGTTGCCAGGCGCTCGTGTCATGGTCTTGTCGGCAGTCGACGAAGATGATCCAAATGAAAACGGAAACGCTGTTATATCTTACGAGTTAATCGATGATGCAGGTGGACTGTTCAAAATCGATCGCGACTCGGGATTAATCACGACGCGAAGGAGACTAGACCGAGAAACTGACGACGAGTACCAACTGGTTGTTAACGCTACAGACCGAGGTCGACCGGCGCTATGGGGTCAAGTGGAAGTCATGATCAGGGTGGCGGATGACAACGATCATCCGCCTCGGTTTACTGAGCAGACGTTTGTCGCTAGTATTTTCGAGAACGCATCAATTGATTCGTCTGTGATAAAACTCAAGGCCACGGACGAAGACATCGGTAGTAGTTCTAGGTTACGCTACAGTATAATAGAAGTGGCTGCTGATTTGGAAGAGGATGGTAGTAGAATGTTTCGCATTGTGGAAGATACTGGAGTCCTTCAGGTAGCTAGAAGCTTAGATTATGAGACACAGAAGCAGTACACTCTAAAAGTCATGGTAAGTGAGAATGAGGACTCCGGGCATATTTTGGGGAAAGAGCATTATTTTTTTTTTTTTTTTTTTTTTTTTTTTTTTTTTTACTGATTGTCGTTAGCAGTAGGAAATCGAGCCAATGGTCTGATCCACTTATGTGAGCCTTATTCCAAAGAAAATTCCTTTCAAGGTGTGTATGAACTCCAGACTGGGCGTATTTCGTGAAGTTTTGACGCCTAGGTTGTCCACGTAACTAAACGTCGCCTCATAATACTAATCAGCAAACAGATTCCATGTTGCCAAGCATCTGTGCAGGAATAGATCACAGATAGAGTAAAAAAAAAGTGGCGAACGAGATACAGCCGAGTGTGTCACTGATGTTCTTACCATGTTTTGACAGCCTCTGCGGCAACACGAAGTACAGAAACATAGATACTATTTGACTTACAGCATAGAGAAGCAAGTTGTTATTAATGGTGACTCCAAGCAATCTAAAGCAACAACTAGTATTTGTTCGAATCTCCTCGAATCCTGAATTTTTACAAGGCTTTATTTCTGCGATGGCCTAAATTGTAGTCCACCTAATATTTTCAACTGCAGGTCTAATGAAATTTACCTCATTAAAAATTGTAATTGTAATTTCATCTCATTAGTCTGTGCTCTAATAGATGATAAGTAAGCACCAATCAAAATGTGTGCGTAATATCAGCGTGTTAGTTAGTTATACACTCATCATAGTTTTGACTTCTCTCACTTTCCTTCTCCCTGTTTTTGTTTAGGTGCGTGATTCTAGTTCTCCATTCTTTAGCGACAAAGCGGATGTAATGATCACCGTTCAAGATTACAATGACAATCCCCCAGTCTTTAACCCCGTATCATACGCGCAAAAAGTCAATGAGGATGTTACCCCTGAGTATTTTCTCATGAAAGTTACCGCCACGGACTCGGACTCGGGCAGCAACCGAGATTTCAAGTTTTCAATTTTTGAAGGCGATCCCGACGGACAGTTTCGTATTGACCCGGAACGGGGAAACCTCTATGTTCACCGCAGGCTGGATAGGGAGAAACGAGCAGTTTACTTGCTCACTGTTAGAGCTACGAATACTGGTGAGTAAAAAATAAATGTTGGACAACAGAGCTTTTACTTTGCTAACATGGAGCCATTAGTTCGTTAGATTTATCACTTGAAAAATATCACCAGACATTCGGTCACGTGACGTTTTTAAACCAATCGTGCGCGGGCGATAATATTCGATGGATTGTAACCTTCTATATTTACTGTCGGTCTTTAAATTTTTCAGCAACGCCTCCCTTATATGGTCACGCCTCAGTTAAAATCACCTTGAATGACGTGAATGACAATGGTCCAACTTTCCACCCATCAGAAATTCACTTCAGTATCAAAGAAAACACCGAACCTCCTCAGTACTTAGGAAAAATCAGCGTTGATGATCCAGATCTTGATCCTCCTAATGGAGCTCCGTTCTTCTTCGAGATCGTCAATGGCAACGAAGAAGGCCTCTTTGAGCTGAATAACAGAACAGGAGAGATGTTTACACGAAAAAGGTTTGACCGGGAAGAGCGCGAATCTTACAGGCTGGTTGTAGCTGCGACGGACAGTGGCAAGCCTAAGAAAGATTCGAAGACCTCACTCTTTGTGCACATTTTAGATGTCAATGACCATCAACACTCGGTAGGAATGTTAAATCTCGAGCTAAATTCGTATCAGGGCAAGTTTCCAGGGGGGAAGATCGGAAAAATGTACGTAGTGGACAAAGACATTGATGATGACCGACATTATAAGTTAATATCCAACAGCTCCCGATATTTCACTATCCAGCCAACGACAGGAATGATAATAAGTCAGCCGAATCCTCCTGAAGGAAATCACTTTTTGTCTGCCATAGTTTCTGATACTAACAGCTCATTCAAATCAGTGATCTGTTCCGTGTTCATCAAAGTCAAGCAAGTTTCAGCTGAAGCTGTCCACAACAGTATGGCAATAAGACTGGGGGGTGTTTCGCGTAAAACGTTTGTCAGTTCAGTTCTAGCGAGATTTAAGGAGTCAGTGGGAAGCATTCTTCAAACGGACGAAGACAACGTGGATTTATTTAGCGTCCAGGATGCACCAAGGGCACCACGAGCCATCGACGTCAGGTTTGCAGCGCATGGAAGTCCTTACTATGCCCCTGAGAAAATGATCGCTATCCTGAAGAACAACCGACCCAGCTTGGTCAAAGCAATGGCTGTGTTTGACGTGAAAGTTTTGGCTGTGGGTGTAGATGAATGTCTGCATGAGCCCTGTGAATCTGGTGGCTGTACAAATGTATTGCTCGCCAATGGAGAAGTGGAAGTGATTTCTGTGAAAGCAACGTCTTTTGCGTCCATTGTGGCGATCCTAGAACCACGCTGTGATGATTGTACGGGGAAGCAAAAAGAAACAACGAGGTGTGAATCGGAGTGGTGTTTAAATGGAGGCACGTGCTTGGACACTCCTCAAGGTTAGTATTCCATGCTAGAAATTCGCCTTTTCAGGGAGGGAACATGAAATATTTTTATTATCAATTGGAAAATTTCTATCGTTTTGATAGAAAATGATAAAGAACAGGAGCATCCCTGATTTATAACAGTGCACCTTGGGCTTGCCTACTTTCGCCTGGAAAACGCCGGAAAAATACGCTTGTTCTGCAGGCTACTTTCTGGTAATAGGATTGTTCAGTTTTCATAAATGAGTCCTGTAATTTATACTAGTTGCTCTCCGAAAAAGACTTCGTTTACATTGCTTTGCCACCGAAAATTCGCCAAGTGAACGCTGCTTTCGTGTTTTCAATTTTTTTTTTCTTTTATCAGGACACAAGTGTCGGTGTCTTAAAGGTCACAATGGTCCCAACTGTGAATTTTCAACGCGAAGCTTTGAGCATGGTGAGTGGCTGTGGCTTCCAGCACCGGAACAATGCAGTGTGGGTTCCCTGTCACTGGAGTTTGCCACCCGAGAAGCAAATGGGCTGCTGTTGTATGGAGGTCCAACTTCCCCTGTGCGGGAGGGAGACGTGCATGATTTTATCACACTTGAACTGGCCGGCGGTAAGATTCTCGTGACCATGTCTCTTGGGGACCGTCATGATGTGGTGCGCGCTGGAGTTACTGGTGGGATGGCCCTGAACGACGGTGAATGGCACCATATTGAGGTTTACCGGGACGGATCAGTAAGTGACCATATTTAAAGCGGTGAAACAGTGGTAGCCATTGTGTTGTGTTCTTGGCTACAACATTTTTAAAACCATCACAGTTCCTCCCTTAACAAAGGAGTAGAAATAGACCAGGGGGTAATCTGTAATGGACTCACTATCCGTCCAAAGCTTGATGCCATGAAAATTGAGATAAAATCCGGCAGCCGTGGGCTATTTGGCTGGGAAAACTTAACCTCCTAGCGCCTCCTGTGGGAAAACGAACCTACCGGTAATGGACAGGGTTTTTTGTTACCCATGAGTGTGTGGAACAAGGCTTTAACTAATCATGGAAAAGTAGATCATGAGGTCTCTCAGGGTTTGCAAACTTATTTTAAATCAAGGATTCGTTTTAGCGTAAACAAAATTAGTTTAAAAATAGAAGGATCTGGGAAGAAGATCTAGTCTTGATTAGCAAACAAGTAACCAGTAACCAAAGAGAACGAGGGCAGGAATGGTGTAAACGACTCAAAATTGATCTGTCTAGAGTATGAGAGAATTGTCCTGTCTTCTTCCAGTCATTCAGGCTTAATTAACCGTATAATGATTTGGATGCTGACAAGTCATGCAATGTTTAATTTGAGGAACAAAGTGTGAATGGCGAAATTATGAGAAATACAATTGTCCAGCTTCTCAACTGGAAGTAGAGCAAATGAAACTAAAAATGCTGATTGGCCCACAACATTGAAATCACCATCTTGTGGGCCAATCCGGCCATGCGATTGGTTCAGTTCTACCTCGTGGTACAATATACTCCTCTCTGATTGGCTGTGTACCAATACTGCCCCCGTAACCCTCTCACAACAGATACAGACTACGTTGTAAACCTATGATCTTGAGTGGGTGATTGTTAAAGTTTCTCATGTTTGCTGCTGTTTTTCATAAAAATCTTAGTTTGTGCGTGTAACAGTTGATAAGTGTAAAGGAGCACCGGTGGTGGAGGGACGGATGCGCAGAGCTGTCGAAGAAATGTCTCGTTGTTCTTCCACAGCAAAATTGAGCAAAAAGAACAAGTAAGTTGATTGTAGTTCCAACCCTGATTAGGTGTGGAACTTGAGCTGCGTACCATTTATCTGTCTTATGTCTTTGTAGTATGCTACCATAACGCTATTTAACCACATTAGGGCAACAGACCGTATAACTATTTGACAAACAAAAAAAAAAAAGGAAATCGGAGCATTAAGTTGAGCGCACGAAAATATCCAAGCTTCAAACTGTTTACGTCCTTTAGGCTGGACTTTTTGAGCGTCTAAAGTTTAAGTGAAACAGATTTTTTTTATTTCATAATGGACACTTCTTTGGTGTTGTTCGTGTTGTTTTAACTCATCTTTCGACGCGCCTTACGCGATCAATGCGATTCTCAGATATTGTCGTAAGATGTATTGTTCAAATGAAATGAGAGAAGAATGATAACTTCTCTTTTGGTTGGTTTGACATACGATACGAGCAGACATTTTCCTCATTTCTTTTACTGCACTACCCAACCTGCAAAATATTTGCACGTCTTATATATGTTAAACTATCGAATAAGGTTTTATGTACAACAGTCTCAAATGCGAGTGAGTCACCTCTTGTGTGTAGGTGAATACATGTGTTGGTGAAATTCGAGCCCTTAAATTTCAGGTTTTTGAATTTAAACGGGCCCTTACAGTTGGGCGGGGTGTCAACGACTAATCTTCTCTACCCAAACCTGACTGTTACCAATTACGAAGGCTGTATACGGAATGTGATAAATCAGGGCAGGTACTACGATCTGAAGACCCCTATCCGCAGAAATGGCACCGAAGAAGGATGTCCTATGGTGGATCAACATTGTAGGAGCCACCAGTGTGACGCCCTGTCCAAATGTGTTCCTTATTGGACTGGTTACTCATGTCATTGCCCCTTTGGTTTCACCGGTTCCACGTGTGGCAAAAGTAAGTTTAGAATTGCTAGTTTTGTTAATACAGTCGACTCTCGCCTTGCGGACACCCCGCCATTGCGGACAAGAGCCAGCCCCCCGGCGAAACGCATTAAGAAGTGACTGAAATAAACTCCCGTTATAACGGACTCCCACTCTTACGGAAATGCGGACACTTTCATGCCTCCAGAGGAGTGAGAAAACGATGACAGTTTGGGTCGAGTTGCGTGTTGAACCGACCCAAACCTCCCGCGGTTTTCCACTCCTTTGCTACTATAGCTCCGTTTGCTGTTTTGCTCCGTTCTACTAACTGAACGCCTGTAAAAGGCTTAATGATATGTAAACCTTTGTTCTGCAGATTGGTGGCTGAGTTTACTTTACTCTACCTCAAGGGTCAGGAAACCGTTATAAGCTTTGCTAATAAGGGTTTGTGGACCTTAACTTCTTTTCTTTTTCTTTTTGTTTTTTTTTTTCGCAGGGACACGTGCCTTGTCCTACGCGGAGGGTAGTTATACTAAGTACCTTTTTTACCTGCACAAGTTCGTATATGAACGGCGGGAGACTAAGATCCAAATGCAGATTAGAACACGTGACCCGGACGGAGGTGTACTAATGTACAATTACGGAAGTGAAGAAGGCCGCTTTAGTTTACTTGAGGTGAGATCAAAAGTTCGTGTTTCATCGTTGCGAAGTGAAAACGCGTCTCCCTGAGGCTAGTTATTTAAGAAGTTAAACACGATAATAACGGCAGAAAATTAACCTTCGTGTCATCTTCTTAAACCCTTTAACTTCCAAGATCTGATTGAGAATTCTCCATTCTAGCTGCTACACATTACCTTGTAAATTACTAACGAGAATTCGGTGTTAGATCGAGATAATAACCCCTTCCCGATAAGTTTTAGCTGTTTGCTGGATAATGTTTGGATATTATAGGAAGAGGTCACATGTTAATCACTTTTGGGAGTTTAAGGCCGGTTAAAACGTTTTATATTCAAGTGAAAATATTTGGATTCATTTTGAACACGAAGTTTCTCCCCTTATTTCAATAGTACTGGTGTACTGTTTCAGAATCAGAGTTCATTTTTGTCTTTTGGTCCTGCGAGAACCTTCGTACTTAAACTTACTCTTGTCAAGATTTGTTACATCCACCCAATGACTTGATAGGATGTCACAAATCTCCAACAGCGATTTTTTCAAAATAGGATTAGTCACTTTCTATTTTAAACAAAAAGCTATCAAAGGGCAAAAAAGGTTGTGTGAAAGAGAGATGTGAGAGTGGATGCTTAGTAATGCAAAAATTTCTAAGTATTTCCAATTGTGATGATTTTCGGTATGTATGTATTGGGGAATAAATGTATTGTTCGATTGGCCTAGAGAAAAGGACTAATTTACATCTGTATCCTCCCTGGTTAGGTGGTGCCATATGATATTGACGGGGATGGGGAAAGTGAGTTGATTGTTACATATACGTTGGGTTACAAGAACCAATCCTCTTCAGTTTTGCAACTGACCGGCATCAACGTGGGCAATGGTCAGTGGCATAATATAAGCGTGGTACGGGAGAGAACACACGTAACGCTTTCCGTGGACTCTGATGGCGATGGATATTCCGTGACAGGTATAATTTTCACGTATCTTTTACGCCTCTAGCAGTGAAGGGACCGAACTTCCTTCCAGCTTATCTTCAGGGCTTGCAGGATCTCACGACGGTCTTCGCAGCCTTGATTTTCATGTCTTGCTCTGGTCTGTAAGTCTTTTTATCGCCGACTCTTCTCCTTTCAGCCTTCCCTAGGGAGATATTGACTTTTACCCCAGTTACGTTTCCGTCGCGTCACCTTATCGCCGCTTTGTGTGACAATCCCAGTTATGACCGTGAGTATATGGAAATCATATATGTGAACTGCGGATAAATATGTGAATATGAAAGCGATCTTCGCAGTGATGAGCACTACTTGAGCAATAGTGAAAATAAGGCCTGAAAAAAAACATTAAAAATGACCTCTGCGATACCGGTACAGAGCTCTACCGACTGAGCATACATACATGAGCACACCAACTGAGTTCATGATTTTTATATATTCAAAGTCATTTATTCATCACTTCACGGGTTTACTTAGAACAGACATAGTGACCAGCTCCCAGTTGGCTTGATAGCTCAGTTAGTAGAGCCATGCACCGGTATCGCAGAGGTCATAGGTTCAAATCCCGTACAGGCCTGAATTTTTTTCAGGCCCTATTTCCACAATTTTCCCATGTTCATCACTGCGAAGATCGCTTTCACATTCAAATCCCAGCCATGTTGGATGCTAAAAATAAATGTTAGCTTTTAAAGCAAGTGTGAGCCTTATTGTTGCGAGGGATTATGCAGACGACTCCTTAAGTTTCGTCTTGGTAATTTAGCTATTTTTCGTTTTAGAGCAACTTGGCATAGAACACACTTTGTTTATTATGGATCCCACGCGGAACTTCATTGGGGGTGTCCCGCCATCTAGCACATCTCGGCGTCGCCGTGCTGACATTGGAAAAGATTTTGTTGGCTGCATAAATGATGTGAGATTCAACGGACATTTACTCTATTATTACAATGGAACAAATGCTTTAGGAAACGCTCTATCTGTAGGTATGGTAAACGTTTTTCTTTGTTTATTCATTAATAAGTAATTACTTTCTAATCCGACTTTTCTTAAATGAGAGTGAGGAACAGCATTCTTCTTCCAAGCAGAAGTTTACACGTATTGTTAAGACTACGCCTGGACAAACCTCCGGTATTTTAAGGACTCCATTTGCGTGTCTTAACCTCATCTACCTTTGCTCTCTCTCTACTGTCCTCTCGATTTTTTCCCTTTGTTTTACTTTGGCTGGTGAAGTGGACAGTGGATGGAAACAAAAGGCACGTATGCATTGCTTTTGGGTTTATCATGCGATGGACTGGCATCCCATTCAGGAGGTAGTAGTAATACTCCTAGTCGCTTAACGCTAAGGAAAGCAGAATAAGGTCCGACTGAATGGGTCACATGGTTCGAGTACAGACTTAAATTTGGGTATTTTTCTTCCAGGGGTCAGTGAAGGTTGCTTGGCAGAACCCATGTGTGAACCTAACCCATGCAACATCTCTGAATGGTGCCGAGACGTGTGGCGAAAGTTTGTCTGCCTTCCTCGTCTGTGTACCAGACAGCCTTGTAAGAATGGAGGCACATGCTTCGAAGGGGCTGATTCCAGAGGAAACAACAAATTCTTCTGTAAATGTCCTTTAGGTTTCGAGGGCGCTCTTTGTGATGTGCGTGGCCGGTCCGTGGTTGTTACTGAAGTAACTGGCGCTAGATTAGAGGACGGCTTAATTATCGGTATTTGTAATTGCTCTTTATGCATAATGTTGCGTTGTGGAACCTACTTTAAAGAGGTACTCTATTTTGACAAACCCAGGCTCAATGTCTGATTATGTCTACTCGAACTCACTGTGAAAAAATGAACTTGTATTCAACGGACACTTCTATTGCTACTGGTAGCCTAAGCTCGCACAATGAGCCTCCGTTAGTATTCAAATTTGTTTTTTTTGCAAATATGCTTAAAAGAATGGAAGTAAACGGTCGCACCCTTGACCTAAAAATTCTGATCTTTTTTTCGATTAAAACAAACGTTCCTTGACAACACCTTTAATATGTTTACGGTTCCGTTTATATCAGTGACGATAACAATGATTACAATGAATTAATTAACGACAAGGATAATTGCACCAATGAGAACAACGGTAAGGATAATGATGAGATAATGAAGATGATTATTATCCTTATCATTGTTGTTATTATTATTATTATTATTATCATTATCATTATCATTATCATTATCATTATCATTATTATTATTATTATTATTATTATTATTATTATTATTATTATTATTATTGTAAGGCTTCTTCTACGTGTAAAAGCATCATGGTGAAACTTTCCGAACTCTTGCCACAACAACAGGCTTTGACTTTTCCATATTTTATCTTTCACCTACAGGGTTAGCAGTCTTGGTAGTGACGCTGATTTTATCAGCTAGCATTCTATTCGTGTACCTTCGCCGCTCCCGACCGCAGAAGCGTGACGTTTTTGTCGAAGAAGATCAGTTTAAGCGGGACAACGTCGCCAATTACCGCATTGAGGGAGGTGGAGAAATGGACCTAGAAGAAGAAGATCAAGTGAGGGACATTTTGAGATCCTTTGAAACGAACGATTTCAGTCCGTGTCAAAATAAAAAGTTTAAACTATCGGGAAGCAACGGTGACGTCAGCGGATCATATGTTGTCCTTACCCCACTTAAAAGGGAGGTCATTGGAAGACAACCCAACGGAATGCCTGATTCCAAACCTGTTCAAAGGTCTGGTAAACCGGATAAACAAGATATACAGCGCTCTTACTCCCAGGAAGGCTCTGATCAGGAGCCCCCGGACTCATCTTCGTCACCGTCAGCAGTATCTACTCCTGAACGGCGCAGGCGTGTTCGTACCTCTTCCAAAGGAGATATTGTGGAAAGACATAGTCCAGAAGGGGGTGAGGAAGGGGTTGAGGGAAGTCCAACTCGGAAACTGGCGGAAGTGTTCGGATTGAGCGAAGAAGAACAAGAGGGAATGAGATCACCGCCGGAAGGATTTTCGTCGCCAGAAAAGTACGAAAGCTTGAGTAAAAGAGAGCGTGGAAATGGTGCTTCGTTGCAGAGACCTAACAAAACAGAAGAAGAATCTAGAAAACCTCCACAGAATATGGAAGAATCACCTCTATCTTACAATGGCGCGGAATCCTTCGCAATGGAGAACCCACTATCGCGTCCTAATAGTGACTTACCCAGCTCGGCTGTAGAAGATGGATTCCCTCCCGTTCAACGGAACTCTATCCCCCCGCGGAAACCCCCACGAGCCTGCTTTCCGAGGGGAGTACCACCCCCACCGGGTAACTTCATACCGGAGGATGCAATGCAGAGATTTTATTATGAGGGGGCTGGTTCCCCTACTATCTCGCTAAGCACCCTGGGAGACACGGAGGGCGAGTCGGAAGTGGATGATAATTATGATTATGTGAATCAGATGGGAGATAAGTTCAAGAAACTGGCGCGTATTTGCGGACAGACTCCTTCGGTAACCTTCAGTCCTCACGATGAGGTCATCGGAGAATAGAGCTAGGAAAGTGGTCAGAACTGAACGAGATGCATTGCTCTATCACCGAGAACATGATGATGAAGAGCTCCTGAAATGAAAAATCGGAATTGAGACACTAACCTACCCCACCCTGTCGATGACATTAAATCATTAGCTAAGCTTAGACTGATAAAACTCTTTACGTTGTAAAGAGCAAGAGAGGGTGCGGTAGACACAAAGACAACATTTTAGATTGCCAAAGGCGAGGTCTCGGAATAATAATACCAAGAAGTTTAGCTTAAAAATCAAGACTACTGATTCTTAGGTTCGGACACGTAACATCTACGCACAAAGTTAATCTCAACCCTTTCATTTCTTTCAGGGATCTGTTGCTCGTTACCTATTTAAGGTGTTCGAGTTCATAATCAGAATATAGACAAACGACAAATAGCTGACTGCGTGCACGATTGCCGAAGGGTGAAATCTTTGTGCACACAAATACTGTTAAAGAGTCAAGCAAACAAATAGTTCAGATATTGATAGATCGTTAAAATGGAGCAGTGAAAAACCGTTTTCTTTCACTCTTGGAATGAAAGGGTTTTGATAAGCATTTCAGTTTAAAAAAAAAAAGAAGCTTATTAACTCTGACTCAATGCCAGCTCGAACTGGGCCGACGTTAAAAATAATTGAAAACGTGATCGTCCATCAAACGCTCGAAATATTTTGAAATATTTCCAGCATCTAATGAACGCTTGTAGTGTTAAAAAACTCAGAAAGACAATAAACTGCATGTAAGTTATGTAAGATATGCTGATAGAAAAGTATAGAGAAAGGTTTTTTTTGGAAGACTTTGAAATGATCAAGCCCTCGCATCTTCTTGTCTCCTACACTTTTAGATCCGAACCTAAGATAACTTACTACGTGTGCTATGTTGTATATTTGTGGAAAAGCTCACACGGAGAATCGGTAACTTTAGTCGCAGGAGATTAGTCTAAATTAAAGGACACTAAAGTTGTTTCCCAGCGATGTTAGTCACGTTTTGCTCATGTTGATTATTTTTTGTGATTTTTATTAGGAAATAAATGATGAGATTTGGTTTTCTTAGCTCAATTAATAATGGTAATTGCACTGAGTGGAGTGCAATTTGGGCTGAAATCATACGCGTGATTTTAGACCGAAATTGCACGACACTAGGTTCAATTACCACTTTATTACATCTATTTTGAAATCGCCCAAATACAGGACTTGGCCGGTATGAAATTAAATTCATGTCCATTTTTTGGGGGGAAAAAGTAAGTTGAGAAACAAAAGTTGCAAAATTTGCCTCATGATTGATCGGTTACTTTAAACAAGCCTTAAAATCTGATTGGTTGTTTTGTTTTTAGTGCAGCCTCCTCGTTGGCTGGGAAAAAGATGCGATTTAAAGCAAAAAAATGGTGCGATTCGTGAATAAATCGCATCAATTAGAGCCAATCAGATTACAGGAACCACCAGTGATTTCAAAACGGGTGTAATAAAAAGGAATATCGTTTCTGGAATGTACCTATCTCCAGTACTAAGTGATAATATCTTATATTTTCTAGAGTTATAATGTTATATTTTGATATTTGAAATTATGTAAAATAATTTTAATCCCCTGTAAGAGTTTTTGAACATGGGTGCAGTAAAACATCCGAAAATAATTTGTTTTACCTTTGAGTTAGTTATAATCATTGAGTTACTATGAGGAACCATTTGCTGACTCCAAGTTCTCCGTCTAATCGGTAAGAGTTAGTTTAGTTTAAAAGAGTTGTAACGGGAAGGTTTTTCCGTCGGATTGAGTTTAAAAAACCGTTCGTATGAGAGGTGTAAATAATAATTAAGAGGAAAGTAAAAAAATTGTCATGGGGTAGGGCGCTCATTTTTCTTTTTTAAAAATACGTTAATGTTTTTGTATGGCTGTAAAATGTGTAACTCTGAAAGAGATTGCCTCACTACAATTCAATAAATAAATAATTAGCAGACAATATTGTGATTTCTTGTCTTTATTCCGCAGTAAAATCCATATAAACCTGAAAGATCTTCACGAGCCGGAAAGTTCGACGGTATTCGCACCTTGTAAAAGGTGCAATGGAAGGGTGTCTGCAAGTATTTGATAGGTACGACTATTTACACTGTCTACAGCAGGTACAACTATCTACACTGTCTACAGCACATTACAACTCCATAGCGGATTAAATGTGAACCTCAAAAATTGAGGTTGTTAAGTATTCATATATTCAGGCTATTGTTCTTTCTCATTATTATTCATTCCGATGAGTTTGCTGACATGGCGGCAGGTACAACTATCCACACTGGCTACAGTAGGTACAACTATCTACACTGTCTACAGTAGGTACAACTATCTACATTGTCTACAGTAGGCACAACTACACTGTCCACAGTACGTACATCTATCTGCACTGTCTACAGTAGGTACAGCTATCGACACTGTCTACAGCAGGTACAACTATCCACACTGTCTGCAGTAGGTACAACTATCTACACTGTCTGCAGTAGGTACAACTATCTACACAGTCTACAGTAGGTACAACTATCTACACTGTCAACAGTAGGTACATCTATCTACACAGTCTACTATAGGTACAGCTATCTACATTGTGTACAACAGGTACAACTATCTAAAATGTCTATTGTAGGTACAGCTGTCTACACTGCCTACAGTAGGTACAACTATCTACACTGTCTGCAGTAGGTACATATATCTACACAGTCCACGGTAGGTACAACTATCTACACAGTCTACAGTAGGTACAACTATCTACACTGTCAACAGTAGATACATCTATCTACACAGTCTACAATAGGTACAGCTATCTACACTGTGTACAACCGGTACAACTATCTAAAATGTTTACTGTGGGTACAGCTGTCTACACTGCCTACAGTAGGTACAACTATCTACACTGTCTACAATAGGTACAACTACCTACACTGTCTACAATAGGTACAACTATCTACACTGCCTACAGTAGGTACAGCTATCGACACTTTCTACAACAGGTACAACTATCCACACTGTCTACAGTAGGTACAACTATCTACACAGTCCACAGTAGGTAAGACTATCTACACAGTCTACAGTAGGTACAACTATCTACACTGTCAACAGTAGATACATCTATCTACACAGTCTACAATAGGTACAGCTATCTACACTGTACAACAATCATGATAATAAGGAGAAAAAACAGCAAAAACAAAATGCAAATTCCGCGGGGAGGAGTTCCTCGGCCCCCAAGCCAGTTTGAGAGTAACTCCTTGTCTGCCAGCTCCAAATCATACTCGGGGAGAAGTTATTCGGCCCCCAAGCCAGATTGAGAATAACTTCTTTAGCGTGATTCGAACCCACGACCTCGATGACCTCTCATGCATAAATTGTCGGTGTATTGAGTTTTAAAATACCAGGTTGGGGGGGAGGGTGAGGAGCTTTGTGTTACTGACAGTGCAATCGAGCGTTTCCGGTCAAGAATAAAGGAAAGGAATCAAACAAAGAACTGACAAAAGCGATCTACACAAGGAATATTAGCATATGTTGTAATGGCGGACGGCTTAGTTTGCTAAAGCTCGTTAATGTGATTCCTCAGTATTTCATCGCACATCTTTTACTGCGCATAAAAATCACGTAAGTATATGGGCGAATAAGCGCGCTTAATTTTTTTTAAACCATGGATCAGGTTTAAAAGTACGATGGTCTTTAGCTCTAGATTGAGAACACTAACCTATATTTTCTGTTGTATAATTTTGGTGTACAAATTATCCCTTTTAGATTGGAGAATCTTATCTGGCCTTTTTGGCTCCTATGAATCCCTCAATAAAGAAGATTGCAGTCCTTTTATAATATCAAAATTTGCATTATCACTAAAAAGCTCTTTCAGTTTATGCAAGGATGAATAGGCGTTCGAGACTTAAACTGAATAAATCTGCAACGTACTAAACTGATGACGTAAGGGTACCATGATCTATAAAAACACGGGTCGATTCGTATCAGAAAGTTATGCCGTACAGAAACAATGAGAGGAAGCTGTCGGTAGACTTCACATTTTTCTCGCAGATTATTTCTGACCAAAAATACAAATTTTCTTCGTAAAAGTAACCGATGTACTTATGCATTTAACCATCTTCCATTTAAAAGCGGGATTGACGCAAGCGTAGTCAGCATATTTATCCCTGACACTTCTCATTGTAGTCCGAAATTTATTTACGAAATCATTGTCTGAGGGAAAGGAGGTGTAAAGTTTCCAATAACCTGGACCACAAGTAAGAAGAGGGTACTTTTGCCCAAACCTCCTCCCCTCAGTCTAACGACCAACAGGAAGGCCTGAAGGGTGTCAGGAGCCATAGACGGCGATAGGGAACTTAACTACTTGATTTAGTTTACAAACACACTCAGTAATCAAGGTGAGCTACTAGAACCAGTTTTAACTGATGCTAACTAAAAACTTTACTTGACCTGAACAAACACTATCGGCATAGCAAACAAAAGCAACGTTTCAAGGGTCAAGAACGACATTTTTCCTTTAATTCCATGTTTTGAATCTTGCCTCTAGTCAAAAGATGGTATTGGAGTTATTTTCTCTCTTGTATTAAGATTATGGGGCTCTGTCCAATTTTGAATGAGTTCGTTGCATACGACTTCAAACGATTACCGATACATGACATTTCGCATGATTACGGAAAGTTAGGCTGATGTCGAAGATGTGCTCCAGCACGGATCCTCAAAGACTTACTGGCCTGTTTCTTCATTTTATTCTCGACAAAGAGAACTTCACTGCAGTTTACGATTGGACATCGACATCTTTACGCTAGAGTTCGGCACAAAGACATACTGAGAAAACGTTTACCTCCTTCTAACTTTCATTGCCTATCGAAGGATGACGACCTTGAAATGGACAATACATAAGAAACGTAAAAAGAAGAAAAGAGGTAAAAAAATACATAAAACGGTTAATTAAAAAACTATTTCTATGTTAAGAAAAAAGAGTACTTGCCGGCGACTAACAATTAACAAAGTGGCCTGAAAAAGAAAACTGCTCTGAAACAAAAGTAAGGAAAAAAAGAAGATAAAATGAAGATAATAAGGAGAAAAAGTAGAAAAAAACAGCAAAAACAAAATGCAAATTTCGTGGGGAGGAGTTCCTCGGCCCCCAAGCCAGTTTGAGAGTAACTCCTTGTCCGCCAGCTCCAAATCATACTCGGGGAGAAGTTATTCGGCCCCCAAGCCAGATTAAGAATAACTCCTATAGCGTGATTCGAACCCGCGACCTCGATGATCTCTAATGCACTCGTTGCGCGCCTACGATTGCCGCTCGACCATCTCGAAACTGCATATTATATTAGCATAATTTGTCGGTGTAGTGAGTTTTAAAATACTAGGCTGGGGGGGGAGGGTGAGGAGCTTTGTGTTACTGACAGTGCAATCGAGCGTTTCCGGTCAAGAATAAAGGAAATGAATCAAACAAAAAACTGACAAAAGCGATCTGCACGAGGAACATTAGCATATGTCGTAATGACGGACGGCTTAGTTTGCTGAAGCTCGTTAAAGTGATTCCTCAGTATTGCATCGCATATCTTTTACTGTGCATGAAAATCATGTAATCATATGGGCGAATAAGCGCACTTATTGTATTTTAATCCATGGACCACCTCAAAAGGCTTGATGGTCTTTAGCTCTTGATTAAGAACACTGACCTGTAATTTCTATTGTATAATTTTAGTGTACAAATTATCTCTTTTAGATTGGGGAGTCTTGTTTGGTCTTTTTGGCTCCTATGAATTCCTTAATAAAGAAGATAGTAGTCCTTTTCTAAGAACAAAATTTGCATTATCATTAAAAAGCTCTTTCGGTTAATGCAAGGATAAAAAGGCGTTCGAGACTTAACTAAATAAATCTGCAACTTAGTGAACTGATGGCCAAAAAGTACCATGATATATAGAAAGTTATGCCGTACAGAAGCAAAGAGAGGAAGTGGTCGGTAGACTGCACATTTTTCTCGCAGATTATTTCTGCCCAAAATTACAAATTTCCTTCGTAAAAGTAACCGATGTACTTATGTATTTAACCATCTTCCATTTTAAAGTAGGATTGACGCAAGTGTAATCAGCATATTTATCACTGAAACTTCTCATTGTCGTCCGAAATTTTTTTACGAAATCATCATCTGAGAGAAAGGAGGTGTAAAGTTTCAAATAACTTGGACCACAAGAGGTAAAAAAAATACATAAAACGGTTAAGGAAAAAAAACTATTTATATTTCAAGGAAAAAGAGTCCTTGCTGGCGACTTCTGAACAACAGAAAATACCACAGGATTCAGAATATAACTAACAATTAACAGAATGAGGCGAAAAAAGAAAACTGCTCTGAAACAAAAATAAGGGAAGGGAAAAAAGAAGATAAAAAGGATGATAATAAGGGGAAAAAGAAGAAAAAGCAGCAAGAACGAAATGCAAATTCCGCGGGGAGGAGTTCCTCGGCCCCCAAGCCAGTTTGAGAGTTCCCCCTTGTCCGCCAGCTACAAATCAAATGCATTTCAACGGTCGATCAGCAGCATGTACGCAGCAACACACGCTTATAAGGAGCGGAAACTGTGAATTTCTTTGAGGGCCGGTTTATCATCGGAAAACTACATCCCAACGTCAGAGTTCAGCACGTAGACATACTTAGAAAACGTTTACCTCCTTCTAACTTGTATTGCCTATCGACGGATGACGAGCTTGAAATGGATAATACGATTAAAAAGATGAAAAGAGGTAAAAAAAGAGGTAAAACGGTTAAAGAAAAACAAATCCATTTCTATTTCAAGGAAAAGGAGTCTTTGCCGGCGACTTCTGAGGAACAGAAAACACTACAGGATTCAGAATATAACTAACAATAAAAAAAAAGTGGCCTGAAAAAGAAAACCGCTCGAAAAAAAAATAAGGAAAAAAGAAGATAATAATGTTGATAATAAGGAGAAAAAA